TACTCCGCTCCCATTTCTGTTTCCTCCCCTCTCCCCAACAAAATCCCTATTTGTGAAACTCAAAACAATGCATCTGCTCTCAAACGGGACGCATCCCTCCCATTTATGGGTTTACTCAGGACACCAGAGGAGACAGTTCAGTTTGTGACCTCTCTACAGTACCGACGAGGGTTGAACCCCTCTATGGCTGAAAACTTTGGTAGTTATAGTGGCCTAAATCTTCAGGTGGGACCAAATACTAAACCAGCTGGTTTTGTTAGTAGCGAACAGTTGCAGGAGATCCTACAGGAACTCAGCGTGGATGCAATCACGGAAACCACGCTTCGATCTCCCGATCAGGTGCCCAGGATACCTTCTCAGCAAAAACTGACCAGAGACTCTACACTCTCCCCTCTCTCCCCACGGACACCCTGCTCCCTTCCCTCTCCTCCACTCTTTCGCTACCCTAGCATCTCGCCTTATACCATGAGAAAAAGGCGGCGGCCCTTTCACTCCTCCAGAGGAGGTTTAGCTCCTCCCTGCTTCTACACAGGCTCTGAGGTTCCTGGCTGTGCAAGAGCAAGAGACACATGTGCGCTCCCAAGTCCAGAAGATATTACTGTGGATGATAACTGTATCCCACATCACAACAGTGACCTTGAAGAGGGAAAGGAGGAGGAGGACACGAAAGTGCATGAAGTAGTGAGAACATGTCAGAGGTGTGTTTCGAGGCTCCCGAGATGTTCGGTCTTGCATTGTGAAGAACAAAACCGTAAAGCTCCAGAGGATGTGGGAGCAGGCGGTGATAACGAGCAGCACCGCAGACACATTCGAGACTCCTGTGGGTACTCGGACTCAGATTCCAGCAGCTCAACCGATTACTGCTACTACCACCGTCCTTACTGTGACTCCTGCCTGCAGCGAGGCTCCCTCCTGTACTCAGACAGCTCCTCAGACTCCTCTGACAGCGAGTATGATGACTACTTGAGCCTCTACCGCTCACCACGCCCTGTGGTATTCAAAGAAGACCTCAAACCCACCTTCGTATGAACACGTTTACTGCACTTTACACATTTATCCAGTTCCACAACTTGAATGAATATTCTCAGAAAGGTTGCTAAAACGGATGTACTTCTGTGATGGGGGACATTTGACAGTAGCTTACAGTATAGGAACTTTACATCCCAGAGATTGGTGTTTTTCTGTGTTGCACCATAGGTCACAGTGACTGATTTATGAGACTAAAGCTTTTGTAGCTTAAAAAACACATAATGCTGTTTACTTTTTTATAGTTACTTGTGGCATTATTTGTATTATTTGTATTACTATTTCTACTGTCTGATGAAAACTTTTGACACTTACAGTACTGTGCAAAAGCCTTGAGTTACTCATTTATTTATATTTAGTTTATTTTAATTCTTTAAGTGGTTCTGAAGGACATTTGTCTTTGGACATTGGCTGCTTTTTCATTCTTTTTCACATGAGACGCATGTTTTTTTCTGTGTTTGTTTTTTGTTAATCTTTTTAACACTTACCTTTGAATAATGCAAACATAAAAAGTGTTTGATGACAATGATAACAGACAACTTATCAAAAAAATATTTTTTAAATTGTATGTTTAGGCACTTTGTTACTAGCAGCGTTCCAAAATGCATAATTTGTTTCCACTTCTTTAATCCATAAAAATAAATGCCGAAGATAACACATTTTCACAGATATAAAACACAGTTTTTGCACCACAAATTGATTCTCAAGGTGCTATCAGCCCAAGATATTTCTTATGAATCATAGTTTCATAGTTTCAGTTGACCAGGAGAGAGGTGCAACAATGAGTGCCTACAGCCATCTGTAAAACACCGTGGAGGCTCTGTCATGGTTTGGGATTTCCTTTCAAGTAGTGGTTTTGGAGATCTTGTCAAAATTGATGGAATTATAAATGCAGAAAAGTACCATTGGCATTTGATCCGCTATATAATACCATCTGGAAAGCTTTTGATTGGCAAGGACTTCATTTTTCGATGATCCCAAACACACTGCCAAAGCAGTACAAACATAGCTGGATAGAAATGCACACAATGCAACCCCAGAACCCAGACATCAACATTAGTGAAGCAACGAGAGATCATCTAAACAGAAAATGAACAAAAAACATCCAAAGAAGAGTTTTTTTGTCCTTCAAGAAGCCTGGAGAACTATTACTGAAGACTACTTAAAGAAATTACAAGAAAGCTTGCCTAAGAGAGTTCAGCATGTGTTAAAGAATAAAGGTGGTCATACTTGTACACACTATGTTTCTTTCCTTATATACTGTATTTCTATTTATGTTTGCACCTATTTCATATTTTCCTAGCAAAATATTGTGAACTGAGGAAATCAGGACTTTTGCACAGCACTGTAGACAGGTGCTTTGTTAGTTAACTCATGTAAGATCTCAAAATATACTGACAGAAGAGACACAATAATGAAAAATGACATAAACAGATGCAACATAAAAGGTTTTCACAGAACAAATGTGCGCTCTATTATCAATTGTGCAATTCTGTATTTATTTCTGTATTTATTCATTGATGTTTTGGTGTCCAGAATTACTTTATGTTTCTTTTATTATAAACATTCCTTAAAATGTTATGTTCCTTTGCTGAATCTGAGTTTGAATTTACAATGTGCATTCTGTGAATGTGAGTGCTGACTTGATGTTAAATACTAAACCTCACCTTTATATGATTTCCATGTTAAATGCAACATTTTCCCTGAGTTAAAATATTTTCCAGGCTCCCCATCACTTAAATCTCCACCATGATTTCACCACATTTTCATGGGTTTTTCTGAAACACAGACAAAAGCCTTTTCTCCCTCGTATCTTTCATGTCTTTTTTATGGCTTGCCCTTCACTTCCACTCCCTTCTGCTATCTACTCTCTGTCTTTCTCGTATTTTATCCCTCCACTAATGGGAAAATATATGTTTGCCGGGGGAGGTGTTGCTATGAAGGCAAAACAGTGTCTTGCGTTACTTCTGCTCAGCTGCCTGCTTTTAAGATGCTGCTGCTCTCTGTTCTGCATATGAACCATTGAAGGCCAGCCTGGGAGAAACTCCCTTTGATACGGAGAATAAAACGCACACACGCATACACACACCCCTGCATAAAAGATACACTAGCAACTGTATCACTGTGAACAGGGAAAGACTTTCCTGCCCTTTCTGCATTCTGCATATGATAGACTTTATTGCCATTTCATGAAATGCAGCTCACATATAATTAGAGTTCAGTACAGTTAGTGACATCTACCTGCATTTGCAGAAAAGAACAAGATACACCTTCAGCGATTTTATATTACCAGACAAACATAAACTGCACCAATTCCAACCTTTTTGGTGGTTTGTTAACAATAACTGCTTTATAGATCAGTAATAAATTACAGTTCTAGATTATTTTGAATATTTTTGACTCAGTGATACAACATTCAATTATTAACATCTCATTTAAAATTTATATTAATGGTTTCTTCTTCTTCTTCTTCTGCATCTGCATGTCCTCTGTCACCACAGCCATGAACCTTCTCTGTGATCTTCCTCTTTTTCCTCCAGCCTCGCAGCTCCATTTTTAAAATATATCTATTATCCCTCCTCTGCAAGTCCTCTCATCCTTGTCTCTCTGACTTTGTCTCCAAACCTACCATCAGCTATCATCTTGTAAACCTTCCATTTCACTCATGCTGCTTTTGTCACAAATCACCCCTGACACTCGTTTCCACCCAGTCCACCCTGCCTGCACTCTCTTCTTCACTGTCCGTTGCTTTGGATTTTTGACTCAGTGTAGTTAAACTCATCCACCTTCACTACCTCTGCTCCTTGCAGCTTCACTATTATTAATTAAAATCGTTCATAAATATTATGTCAGTTGACAACAACAGCCCTCTCAAGGGTAAGAGGAAAGAGAACAAACAAAGAAGATCATAGAGAGACAAGGACAAAACACAATGGCTGAGAGAAGAAAAAAGTTAATGCCATGCTGGAGTGGTATGTAAATGCAGCTGTAGCATAAAGCCATAAGAGGAGAAGAAATGCTCATTGCATCTTAGCAAGTCCCCCAGCAATATTGCATCATAATCAAGACATGGTTCGGGGTCACCTGATCTAGCCCTACCTATAAGCTTAAAAGAAAAAATGAGAGTTTTAAGCCAAGAGTAAAGAGGGTATCTGTCTCCTCAAACTGGGAGCTGATTCCACAGGGGAGATTGCTAGCTGAAGGTTTTGCCTGTTATTCTCCTTTTAGAAACTATATACATCAAAATATCACCAAAAATTAATCGAAAAAAAAACACAACCCATCAGTCAAAGGAATCTTCAAAACCAACTGATCCATTAGGTACGACGCCATCTTTATTAAATAAATAATAGCAAAAGCTTTGTTTATCTTTCATCTTTCAAACACACAAAGAGACAACAGTTTAAATGTGCAATGAGGAGGTACGATGCTAAACATGTAAGATAAGGTTATAATAGAAGGATGAGACGCGTGCACGCGCACATTATTACATTACTAAGCAAGATGACACTAATTAAAAGGATGTGCCCGAGAGCCGCGTGTGGTAAAAAGTGTTGGGGAGCGATAAAGGAGAGGCTTTTGTAACTAACATAGCAACAGTGCTGCATGACCACCGGTGCTCCGTGTCCGTGACAGCTGGGTCCATTTGAACAGACAGCCCGGCTTCGACTCTCCATTGGTGGAAGAAGTTATCCATCCCGGGAACGGGCCCGCCCCTTGTCCCCGACGCGGCACAGGAAAAAAGCCTTTGAAGTCGCGAGGGCGGTGCCGAGCAAATTATGCCATGTGGTGCTCGAGAGCGGGGTTTTCATTGGACGGCGGGGAAATGGTCGCCGCCCATTTTTGAAGGATACCCTCTCTGATTGGCTCAATCGGCCACCCCAGTTTTGCCGTGCGCGCGTTCACACTTTTCCTATTCTCCCTCGCGAGTTACGTCAGCAGCGTGAACGTCTTTCCGTGACGCTGGAGCGATCCCTCGAACAATTTGCGGAAACGGCGTACCTACCATGCGCAGCGACAAAGACTGCGAGCCTGAAACCTATGGGGAAGGAATAAAAAAAGAAATTTCGTATCGTCGCACTCTGTGCTTAAAGACCAGTATTTTCTGAGGAGCTCGCCGGCCTGGGGTCTCGGTAAAGACACCGAAATTTAACCGAGGCAAGGCTGGATTTAGAGTCGGCGTACGGCTAGTGAATTCGCTGAAGAAGATTGTAGCAGCTGGCAGATTTTCCGTTGGACCGTCTGTAGGCTAGGGTAGCGAGGGAGCCGCCATGGCAGTCGGATCATTGAGCCTCCACATCGGGATATGAAGTGGACCTGCATGTGTCCCGAATCGTTAAGAAAACGCTGCATTTGTCACCGATCCGCACCGGATCAGCATCTTAACTAACCCTTCTTCATCTCCGTGAAATCGATTCCGCACCCCGAAAGAAATTACCGCTGGTTTTTAACCGTGGGGCCACAGGGAGAGGCCAGATTCATGACTATTTTAGTCGGATACGTGTCTTCAAAGGCCCGCTGAAAGAAATCCTGGAGCACAAGGAGGAAACGATGCTCTGATAGACCGTCGGTGGAAAAGAAAAGGGTAATTTAGTGGCGATACGAAGTAGTGTGAAGGATTCCTGGGATAAGGGGATCTCTTTCTAGCTGACCTCCCCGTGAATTACAGTGATATTAATTTACTGTCATCCCCCCTCCTTTTTGGATTTTTTTATTTTTTATTTTTTATTTTTGATGAGAAGGTTCGGCGAATCGATCAGCTCCGCCGTTTAAGCAAGTCACAGTCGAGAGAATCAAGGGGATCGTCGGATCATGTCGGGTCGGCCCAGGACCACATCTTTCGCGGAGAGCTGCAAGCCAGTGCCGCAGCCTTCAGCTTTCGGCAGCATGAAAGTCAGCAGTAAGTACACCCGTGTAATTCTAGAGTGGCAGACTTTTCCTGCACGCACCAGGCCCACCGTGGGCTGCATATGCTCGCTTAAGTGTCCTCTCACTAACTAGACTGGAAATGTGTCAAGTTAGCATACAGTTAGCTCCGGGAAGCTTATCTCTGTCATATATGTGTGTCACTGAGCGAGACAGTGGATGGTGCTGAGCGGCACACACTGCTGCTCGCCCCGATGTGGACACACAGCGTTACGCGCTCTGTCGCGCCGCCCCGGGGCCGGTCAGCCGGAGCAGGGTTAGCAGGCCGCGCCGGGAAGGGCCGGGCCGGGCCATAGGAAGGTAGTGTTGGCACAGGCCCAGGTCAAAACCAAGCCTCCTTCTTCCACCGCAGATCCGGCCTGATTATTGTCCATTTGAATGTAGATTAGATCGCGTAGAGATATTGCCACACGGCACCAATCACATGCGTAATAGAGTTAAAGCGATTGGTCCGGTCTATTACGCAACTGTCAGAACGGAAGGTGCGCCCGTAGTTGAGTCGGGCAAAACTGACGCGATCCCAAGGGGGGTGGTTTATTAGCCTTGTTTCCACTACTTCCACGGGCCGTGTCGCGACGACCGGAGGGAGTGTGACATCGAGTATCCTGTTCATGAAGCCACGGTGGCACGGTGCCGGAGACCGCTTATAGACTGGCTGCAGAGAGGAAGCCATGCGACTGACTAGGCCTGTCAGCTGAGCAAGTGGCGGGGTGGGGGGCTGGCAATGTGGGTGCTAGACGCCTCTCTTTCGTCTAGTCTATCCATCACCACGACGATCTCAAGGCAAGGCGCACTCGCTCCCATGCTGAAGATACTGCTGCTGTGCTGGTTATATTTAATGGCCCAGTTAGAGCTCAGTCAGTTTAAATAACATCAAATTAACACTTTACCTATCTAAAAGCATTTTCATTTAAATTAATCTATAAGTATAGCATCTTTATTATTAATGAGTATCGACTGTCATAGATGGACACTTGCACAGTTCCTAGTTACACCCGTCTTATCTGACACACAGATGGGTGGGGTGGAGTGTGGGGGCACGTACCTGTTAAGGAATGCTGATGGAGCGTTAAGGCTGTGATGTGAGCATGATGTATGTCAGGCGGGTGAGGCCTGAGCTCAGGCTCATGTCTGGGCCTTGGTGCTGGAAACCGATTAGTGCACTGTGACACACACTCCAAACCCAAGTCTAATTCTTGTCTCGCCCCAGGTGCATGTATGGGTCAGGTCTGCTAAATGTGAGAATTTTTTCAGACAAAAGTTTTGGATCCTCAACTTGATTTCTTTTTCTCTCATAGAGACTCGTCTGGTGACTCAGTACTTTTTTTTTTATCAACTAAAATAATAAGCTGAACCTCTAGTTGCTCAATTAAATAGGTGTTTGATAATCTGATGTCTAACAGCAGGTGGTGTTCATCTCCATGGAGGAAAGTAGAGTGGCTGATTGCTCAGATGTCCCCTGTTGTAAAATTTTGGTCTGTGAAGCATTTCATGGAACAAACCCTTCCCAAAGTAATTTCCATCAAAGTAAGCAGCTCTGGCAACTTCAGGGCCTTCTGTACATCGCCGATTGCAGGCGTGGACATTAGTAAAACATTGGTGAAAATTGTGGGTTATATTGATTTAGACTTTTACAAACGGGAAGGGAACTAGCAAATGTAAAGATCTGTGGATGTATATGCAGAGACCTTCTTAGCAGCACATTGTTGGTAGCAGCATCCAAGCACCCAAACAGAACGTTATTAAGTTCCCAATAGGGCTGGGCCATGTCATACCGGTCACGGTAATACCGGTATAATGTTGGGCAACGACAAGAAAATGAAATATCGTGATAGAATATTATTTTCATACGCACATGGTGGTAAAGGCAGCGACGGAGAATGAGGGTGAAAGCGGATCGTTGAATGAAACGGATGAACGAGAATTGGTTTGTAAAAATGCTGCAACTTCAGTGGTGTGGAACTGGTTTAGCTTTCGTCTGTCAGATACACAACAAAGCACTATTTTTGGTAGAGCATGCCAGCAGACCGTCGTTATTACCGTGTTTTTTGGAAAATACGGCACACTCAATCCTTTGGTTTTTCTGAAAATTGACACTGCCTCTCATAATCCCGTGTGCCATATGTTTGAATTCTGGTTGTGTTTACTGACTGATGTTTTAGTACGACTTTGCTAAGCTACAAACCCGCACCACTTTATGGGTTGTCGGAGCATTACTTCTATCGTAGGGAGTAGAGCAGGGCAATATGACCAAAAATATTTATCACACAATATATATTTGAAAATTTGCGATAACGATATAACTGACGATATAATTGACACTAGACAAAATACTTTACAACTCTTCAACTTTGATGGGTTTTTTGCACTAATAATGTATTCTCACTTAAACAAGCAGCTGTTTTTTCCATTAAAGTTATATAAAGATGTAACAGTGCAAATGCAAATTCTTGCTGACAGTTTAACCTAAAGGCATTTCCAGTGGACACTGGCCAACATATCCTCAGCATAACAGTGTATAATATCCACAAAACTTAAAAAGAGCTTATACACACGCAATATGGTAATATTATGTTGAAGCACCGTACGTATCACTCCGCAAGGCTCCTCCCTACGATAGCCGTAATGCTCCGACAACCCATCAAGTGGTGCAATGTCCACTGGAAATGCCTTTATATAACTTTAATGCAAAAAACAGCTGCTTGTTTAAGTAAAAATACATTGATGGTTTATTTTGCACTAATAAAATTGTGGAGTTGTAAAGTATTTTGTCTAGTGTCAATTATATCGTCAGTTATATCGTTATCGCAAATTTTCAAATGTATATTGTGATAAATATTTTTGGTCATACCGCCCTGCTCTAGTTCCATATCTTTAACGATCAAGGATAATAGCAAATCTAAATCACTGAGTTTTATTTTTTCTTGTAACAAGCAGCTACATATAATTTAACTTTCTTTTTAGTTATTGTTTTAATCTAAGGTAGGCTCTGTCACACAGAGGTATGTGGTACGCAGTTTCAGTTGTATCAAAACTGTACTTTGGACTGTGTCACTTAGCTGGAATCTACCTAGACTTGTTTTTTCTTCCGGTCCAGGATGTCATCCACTATTATCCTTTCCTCCACCATCCTATAACACACACACACTTGGATAGATATATGCACTCAAATGTGTGTGTAATAACTTGGCTGATGGTCCTAAGCAGCTGTAGCCACTGCGTATGATCCTGGAGAGAATGCTCTTACCCCTCCTACACAGGCAGACGGAAACACACATGCATATACATACATACAGTACATTCACACACCCACTCGAGCACCCTCAGGTTTTGTTTTTTGGGGGGTGAGGCAGCTGGCCAGGAACAATGAGCAGCTTGTTTAGCATCTCAAAGCAGCAGCTCTCTCTTCCTCTTTTCTCCTTTTTCCTGTCTGTCCCCCTCTCACGTTTTACAAGTGATGACGAGAACAAAATGAACTAATTATACTCTTTGATTCCAAACGAAACAGCAGGGCTTACAGACGAGACGAGGACCACCGGAATCGCTCAGGGTTTAGAAGAAAGATGAGATCTATTTATTTATTTATTTATTTATTTGTGAGTGAGAGAAAGAGAGAGCGAGAAAGCTAAATAAGATGAGTGTAGTAGTGCAGCAATGGCTCTGCAGGCTGCACGCTACCCTGACATCTACAATCCATGCACCAATATTATGTCTCCATCTCAGTGAATCTTGGCCAAGTTTACTTTGCATTAGCTGCAACACTCGTTCCAGTAATGCAGTGAATTATCGTGTCAACTTTACAACGGGGGGATTCTGCAAAATTGTTTGTACCTGTGTCTGCATTACAGGAGCTGAGGACTGCGAAGCAGCAGATGCGCGTCTGTCATGAAAGACACATGAATGCAGCACCAGTGGGGAAAAAAGAAAGAAAAAAGAAATCTATTAATAAAAAAATGAAGCATAGCAAGGGAAAAAAATGACAGTGAAATATATACGGTACATATCACTACAGCCACTACACTTTAAAGCAATGTAGACTGAAAAAGAGGAGGCTGGAGAGGTGTAGAAGAAAATGCAAGAGCTGTCACTGCCACTTCCTGTTACCTGTGTGAATGCAAACCAAAAAAAAGGTATTGAAAAGTAGTAGCGAGTCCTTAGAACTGTTTGATCCAATGCGTGGATGCTTCTGCTTGCAAGGTTCAGGCATGACGTGGCCTAAATGTTCTCCTGACTCGGCAGCGTAAAATATGGCACACATATCTTGAGCTAGGTTTAAAATCTAAGCTTAGTGATAAGCCCGTCAGGTTTTAGTTACCCTAAAGGTTATAAAAATATCTCTGCGTGCACTCTTCAGGGCTTGCACCTATGTTTAGTTGGGTGTTGATGCTTGGACCTAAGGTTTCCCAGCAGAACACTGCCCTGTAACGAGTCGTCTACAAATCCCCTGTCAGTAGTTCCCTTGCGTAGCTGATTGGTGCATGAGCAAGTTATTGTGTGCAGTTCTTTGCCAAAATTCAGAAAGCGATGGACACATGGGCTGTTTGGCAGGCTTTGCACTCTTTGACATTCACTTGTAGTGATGCAACATGAATGGTGTGAAAATTATTATTCGCACTGCAGTAAATACATGACTAATTTTATGACTGCAGCTTGATTACTGCTGCATATTTATACCCCTGTAGTACTTGGAAAGAGTGTGGCTGATCATGCTGTGGGAGTCGAGTGTAAAAGTACAAAGAAAATTTCTTTGTTTAGACTTCCGTGTCAGACAAAATACTAATGCATTAACTTTAGAAGGGGTAAAACTGCTATTGCATTAATAAAAAGAAGCATCTTGTCCAGAACTTGGACCATGGAATAGTGAGCGTGGAGGATTTGTCTTTAGAGTTATGCCATGTTATTCTGTTCATTATCAGTGCCAAGGCACTGCTGTATATTAATAGCTAATAACTTATTGAATTATCGTGTACATGCCACAATGTGAGTGTCATCATTTTGTGGCTAATGTTCTGTTTTGAGGAGGGACTGACAGATAATTTCAGTGGCAATATAATAAAGATGTGATTAATATTTGCCAGCCACAGGAAGACTTGAGAGTCAGAACTCAAAGTTTCTTCACTGACTGTGACTGTGGGGAGACTTCCACACGGGGAGCAATTTGTTGTCACGAGGCGTTTAGAGGCCGTAGAAAGTCAGTGACACTCAACGACTTCAAGTGACTACGGGCGAAAAAATCCCACTGGTGACGCGTTGAAGCGACTGCCAGTGAGAGGACAGGATACCGGTGGTTGACATGACCTGGTAGGAAATGCCTTAAAGGGTAACCTCGGCAACTGGAACCTAGAATATCTTCTGTCGACCAACTGTCAGCATCAGACCAGTGATCGCTTCCCTGTGCGGATGCACCCTAGCCTGAAAGGGCTACCCTGTCACATGTCAATCAACTCGTCCTTCCCTCTCATTGGTAGCTGCTTCATTTGCTCACCTCGGGTTGATGAAAGTTTAACTCAGGATCCGCCCACCTTGCATTGCCAGCAGTTATTTTGCTCCACATCACCTGAAGTTGCTGAATATTGTTGACTATTTATGGTCTCTTGTTGCCAGGATGCTGCTGGTTGCTTCCTTTGTGGATGCCCCTTAAAAGTACTTCATTGCCCTCCACCAGAGAAAAATAAATGACAAAAAGCCAGAATAGAAGTGTTGCTTTTAGGCAACACTTTACAAACTTAATCATGTTACTTATCCCATAATAAGCTTCAAATAACTGCAAGTCCTTATTTATTATTCATGTCAGGAAAATTAAGATAATCCATAAGTCTGTAAGTTAAAAAGTTGTTTTTCTTCCCCCTTGATTTGATTTAGATGAACACAGATGAATTTATGACATTTGCTCATGTAGTTTTTCAGCAGCTTTGATAGAAATACAGGGTTACACGTTTTTATCAGCAGCAGCCGCACACGTGTCCTGTGACTGCTCAGCGGCAGTGTTGTTGTGCGCACGCGTTAGCCATATTCAGCCGTGGCCTGAACTAGTCTGCTGACCTGAATCGAATATTGATGCCGCTGGCTAAACGTCGCATTGCAGCAACCGTCTCTGCTCTGTCACTTTGTAGATATGTAATACAGCATACGTACATGGAGTGATGCACTACGATTTATCTATTAACTAGTGTACTTGTTGCAGGCTGACTGATAAGTTAACAATTCCCGCGCATGCTTGAAGATGTTTGTTGTTGCACTGATTTCTCTGTTATTGGTGCAAAATTCATGTTTGGTTATATTTAAAGAACTCTTTACATGTAATAGAAGTTTTTACCAAAAACTTTTGTGTTTGTTGGGGATATTTTATTATAGGGATGGACAGATTATTGGTTAAACCAATATTGGCCTTTTTTTTTTTACTGTAGAAATATTGGTAAAAATGATTGTTTATCAATGCCTGGATCCATTTTTTTGTCTCCCCAATGTTTTTTAGTTTTCTAAATGTTAAATGCCAAAGTGATTAGAACTAAAATGCAGTTAAAGCTGTTAGGATTTTTTTTTTTTTATTGTAGTAAAGATTTGCTTGTTTTCCTGGTTTGTTTACTTATTAGAATAAATAGGTGCCCTTTGCTTTATAGGAAGTTACATTTCTTCTCACATGTGAACTGAAGGTAATTCCTAATTGTGTGCAATTGTAATAGTTTCTCTAGTCTGTGTGAAAAGTCCTGCTTCATGCGGCGTCCAGTTAGTCAGTCAAATCACATTTGATCTCTTGGTCATTCCTTCCTTACACCAGTGTGGGTTTCCAGTATGTGTTTGTGAGCAGGCACAGACTTTTCTCACGGTTTGAGGAAGTGCAGAGGCGTCATAGAAATGGCCCTGTTGGAATATCTGTAGGCAGAGTCATATTCCTCTCTCTGTCCACAGTCCTGGAAAGTGTATTTTTGTTGGTACAGAATCCATCTTTAGTTTCCCTTTCTAGACTTGGTCCTGGAGAGAGAAGCTGTCTCTTTTTCCTTTTTCATTTTTTGGTTTCTCAGACCCCTCCACTGTTTTCTCCCATTCCTTCCCTATTCTTTGATTGTAATTGCATCTTTGGTAATGGAGCCTCTCACTGGCCACACAGCAGCAGAATAAGGCTTCCAAACGCACATTAATAATTTTATGTCTGGATTGAGCCTGTGTGTGTGCCGGCGTCCGTGGGGGGACTATTTGCATCGAAATCAATGTTGGTGTTGGAAAATAAACTCAGCAAACCAGTGAAAGTAAGAAATAGGACTGATTAACCTCCACACCCTCGGTTATAGTTTGAGGTCAAATGTTGATTTGTGGATTAGCAGTGCGGGGGTAATCAGCCCGAGGAAATTGTTGATTCAAAACACACATGCAGACAACCCATGACCTGGTAGTTTACTAGAAATCAGCATGACGTGCACACCCACTCAATATGGGTGGACGTAGCGGCCTTCCAGAGTCCATCCAACCAGTTGTGTTTGCTGCCTACCACTGTGAGAAATTTAGAGAAGAATGCGTTTGATATTTTTGACTTGTTTAGGCTCCTCCTCTGAAGTCTGGGTTAAGTTCAGACCTGCCCAGTCATCCTTTTTACTGCCAGCTAATGTAGAGTTTCCTCAATTTTACAGCTCTTTCCACTTGTGCTTCTTTTGTCTGTCTGAGGCTAAAGCTGATAGGCGTGACAGTAACATGGTTCAAATGTTCATCAGTAATACACGGTCCTAGCCTGCGTTGTATGACTTGTGAATCGAGGACCAATTTGACGCTTTGATGACCAAAGACAGCCTGCAGCAAAATTCAGAAACGGTGTCAGAGAACAAGTTCTCACAGTGTGACCCACATTTAAAAGCCAGTCCATCACAAATGAATCAATACACCAGTCAACTGTCGTTCTGAATAAAGTTCCGTTTGAAGATTTTTTTTTTAATATTCTTTTAGTTTTTAAACGCTTAAAAGCACTGCTGCAGTGGTCACACAGTGGTCTGGTTTTCTGTGAAATATCTTTGGATTTTCAGACAGGGAGCTCTGAGACTCACCTGAAACTCTCAGGATCATGAGCATTTTTACTCTTGTTTCATGTATTTCAGTCAAAATGATTAGGAAAGAATATAATAAATGGGAAAATTAATGTTTTCCTCTAATCTACTCGGATCTGAACACTTGTGTGTTGTTTGTGTCTTTGTCTCGATCTGCAGGGGACAAAGATGGCAGCAAGGTAACGACAGTTGTGGCCACCCCAGGCCAAGGCCCCGACCGGCCACAGGAAGTCAGCTACACGGACACCAAGGTCATTGGCAATGGCTCTTTTGGCGTCGTCTACCAAGCTAAACTCTGCGACTCTGGAGAGCTGGTGGCCATCAAGAAGGTCCTGCAAGACAAGAGGTTTAAGGTAAAACTTGTTATGACTGAGAACAGCTGCAGGCATAATTGACGAGTGTGCATATAAACGCAAACTCAATGTTTACCCTCCAAATCACCCTTTTTTCCCTTTTCTTTCCTTTTTTTTTTTTTAAAACAAAAATCCATGCTATCAGAGTCGAGATGTGTGGCATTAATGAATGTTACGGGGTAACCGTGAAAGAGACATGAATGGAGTGATCTTTCACACGAACGGGGAGATCAGAGAAGCTGCGAAACAAAAGAAAACAAAAGAAGAGCGGGAAAGTTTGTCATTCAACACATTCCTACTTTAAAGCGTGTCTTTTCTTCTTCTTGCAGAGAATGTGCGTGTTTGTGTAGTAGTGGAGCGGAGGTCTTTTCTCACACCGACAAACTCAAACACATAAATATTCAGTCTCCGTCAGCTTGCAAACGTCATGTTTCTTTCCAAGTAGAGCTCTGCTGGAAATCTCCTCCTGTGCTTTGAATAGATTTGACTGATGGCATGTTGTTCCTTCATTTGGGCAACATTGTCTTTGCTCCACTGGTTCATGGCCTCCGCTGAGTGTATATGGGTGGAAATAAGTGTCCCGAGGATCATGCGGATAGGATGTTTACATGAAACACACAAACTTGATAATAAGATGTATATAAGCAACATTAGCTGGGATTATTTTTGAGTGCTTAGGATAGCATATTTGGGTCTCTCGGACTGGTTAAGGGTTTGTCCTTGTTTCAGAAATCAGGATATGATGTTTATGTGGCAAAGACAAAATGGGATACTTCAAAAACTCATGTTCATATAAACAAACTCATTGTCCCTGCCACTAGACCTCAGAAAGCAACGCTTGCAGAAGAGCTGTTTAGAGTTTCATCAAGTTTAAAGGCTTTAAAAAATGAGCTTCCACAGTATTTTAAGTGTGTGATCAGGCTGGGGTTAAACTGGGTAACAGCTCAAAGTGTTAATCTTGCAGTTGGTTATTTTATACATATGCATAATGTTTGTTAAATGGTTTAAATTCAAACCAGCGCTTCTTAACCTATTTCTGGGATGCTTCACTTAAAAAGCAGCCATAAACTCTAACACTGGGATCAAAGTTTTATTTATTAAAATATACATTACCAGGATACCATCAGTCAACTCGTGTTTGTTTCACTTTCACCAGATAAATGATATCTGTTAACTTAGCTGGACTCCACATTTTTACCCAGGTCACCTACACTGGTTCTCTTCCTCACCACTGAAGCCAGTGCAGTCTAATTAGGGATGTTATTTGATTTAGTGATACCAATACTATTATTGAGTCTGCTTAAAGGGCTTATTCTTTATCGATTCTCTTATTGATTGTTGATCAATTTTCTGAAAAAAGGAGGCCCATTCTTGTTTTCAGCAGCCAGTATAGCAACAAAATATAAAAATAGCTTATGTTAGACTCAGGTACTCAACATGCTAAAGGAAGTTATTAAGCTTGCAGGTGTGTGATTATGGTGTACTGGACAGTTTAGTAGTGGTTCTTAACTGGAACTTGGTTCTTGAAATGCAAACTTCAATTCAATTCCATTTTATTTATATAGCGCCAAATCACAACAACATGGGCCTCAAGGCGCTTTATTTTGTAAGGTAGACCCTACAATAATACATACAGAGAAAAACTCAACAATTATATGACCCCCTATGAGCAAGCACTTTGACAGTGGCAGTGGGAAGGAAAAACTCTCTTTTAAAAGGAAGAAACCTCCAGCAGAACCAGGCTCAGGGAGGAGCGGCCATCTGCCGTGATCAGTTGGGGTGAGAGAAGGAAAACAGGATAAAAGACATGCTGTGGAAGAGAGCCAGAGATTAATAACAAGTATGATTCAGTGGAGAGAGGTCTGTTAACACATAGTGAGTGAGAAAGGTGACTGAAGAAGAACTACTCAATGCATCATGGGAATCCCCCAGCAGTCTACACCTATTGCAGCATAACTAAAGGAAGAATCAAGGTCACCTGGTCCAGCCCTAACTATATGCTTTAGCAAAATGGAAAGTTTTAAACCTAATCTTAAAAGTAGAGATAGTGTCTGTCTCCTGAATCCAAACTGGAAGCTGGTTCCACAGAAGAGGGGCCTGAAAACTGAAGGCTCACATTCTACTTTTAAATATAGTGCGAGAGCAACGTGCTCTAATAGGGTGATATGGTACTATAAGGTCATTAAAATAAGATGGGGCCTAATTATTTAAGACCTTGTCTGTGAGGAGCAGGATTTTGAATTCAATTCTGGATTTAGCAGGGAGCCAGTGAAGGTAAGCCAATATAGGAGAAATATGCTCTCTATTTCCAGCCTTTTTTTGATTAACTGAAACCACTGTAAGCTACGGGAAATGCTGGTGAGTGGTTGCTACCTCCTTGGAATTGTCTTGGTTACAATAAAACAGCTTGTAGTTTGCAAGAGAGACGCGAACGTGTCCACAAACAGTGCCACTGCGTACAGACTGGTGGTGAAACTGTGAAAAGTACAATACAAATGGAAACAAAGTCACTTAGCCTTGAAAGTAGAAGGTACACCTTTATGAAACATGTCAGCAGTAAAGCTTAATTTAGACTTCTGCAGGAAATTTACGTCTTAACTTACATAGTAACTCCTTTTATCTCCACACTGCAACCTTTCACACCACTCGAGTGGTTGTGGTCGTCGACCCAGCGTGTAGTTACATTTCTCGGGAGGTGCCTGTCTGGCGTAGAGTTAAAATAGGATTCCGGTTATTGCATACGTTACAATGTCGATCTGACGCAGGAGTATAATTTACATGTTAGGCTTAAACTTGAACTTTGTGTTTGTGTCAATGCAAACTAAGGGTGACCATGGCTGCCTGCTAGCCACGCAAGGAGGATTTTTTTTGTTTTGTTTTGTTTTTTGGTGCAGCGCTGTCTTCGCAATCGACAACCCCTAGCGACAGCCAGCAACCTCCAGCAACTTGTCAGCCAGGTAGGGAATACACATTTTTCCCAGCAACTGAAGGTTACCAGGGGCTCACCAGCCAACCTCTAGAGTTGCTGCCATTCCAACCACAGCTGAAAGTCACACCTTAAAAAAACGAGTGCACTATTGTCGTGTGAGACTATATATTTGTCATGCACACAGACACTCAATACAGTAACAACTACCAGCTGAGTTGGGGTTGGTTTGAGTGGGCTATTCCAGCCTAAGCACAGCAATTACTTTGCAGCTCTGAATGGACTTAATTTCTAACCTCACAGGCAAAAATAAGAAGTTTTTGCGATGATTAAAGGAGATACATTTCAACTGTAAAATTACTGCAAAAAACGATTTATATCTTACATCTCTGACCTTGTGATGCTGTAAAGTTTGTGTACGTTCTACCCATAAGCTTTTATTTCACTGTGTGACAAGAGATGCTTTAATTGTAGACATTTGACTAGGGGAAGGGGGGGGGGAAAGCACATTTGTTACTAAAAATAGCAGTGGCTATGTCGTCAGACAATGGTTCCAGTAAACAATGGCTGCAAACCAGGGGAAGCAGTTCACATTTACATGCATTTAAAGTAAAACTGAAAATACAAAATGAAATGCTGGCATGAAGAAAAGAGGAATAAACAAACTAAAACTGTATTGACAATGATAAATGGGTAGGTTATGTGTCATACTACATACATGCCCTGTTATAAATAAATAAATGAGTAGTATGTCTAATGGGAATTAAGTCTGTTAATATTTGATTTAAGCTTGGAAGGCAGAGCTATTCCCTTCTCGCTCATCATTTTATGTTATTCCCAGGAGGAGAACGCTCACTGTTGTCTTGTAGACTCCCATCCCGCTACTCTTTTTCTTTTTACCCATAACTGTGAGAACTGATCACAAAGTTCAGTCAAATCTATTTGCCTGTAGCGTTTTCACCCAACTGGTTCAGCTAAATGCTTGAGCAACTCAAAACCCTGTTGGAGATTCAGCACAGTTTTTTTCTCTCCTCAGGATGTGCTAGTCCTTTGCTCTGTGAAGCCAGACAAGATGAATGATGTCACTTAATGGTGTAGGGGGTCGGACATCTGCCACCAAATTCACGGCGCTCGTTGCGGACGCTCACACTGTCTTTTTGTGGCTCTGCGTGCCGGCCCCGGTGAAGTCACATCCTGCTCTTCCTGTTAGCCTGTGGTTAGCATGACGTGCTAGCAGGCCGCCTCCTCTTTTAAACAGCTCAGTGAAGCTCATGCTGGTTTGATTGTTCAGTTTCCTCTTTAGAGAAGACCCTCTGCCTCAGCTGGCTGCCGCTCTTTCCGCCTCGTCTTTCTCGCTGCTTCATCTGCACGTCCTCCTCATGAACAGCTTGTTAGGAAAAATGAAGCAAATGAGGGCTAAGACTCTTCACATGACTGTCAAGCATGCAGCGCGAACACACACACACACACACACATAAACACCTGCGTTCTATTTTCTTCTCCCCCACTTCAAAAGCCTTTTGTCCACACTTCTGCTTTTTTCCTGTCTGATTTAGTGCTCATCTGTGAAGTGAGCGTGGGTTGAGTAAACCATGCCAGTCAACATGTGTGAACGTTTTATTTTCTCTCACTGGCACACACACACACACACACACACACACACACACACACAACCAATTCAAGTCAAGTCGAACAGGGTAATCATGTGAAGAGGCTTCTGGTTTAACTGTGAGGCAGCTTTGGTGGGCTCGCAGTGTTCTTGTTGTCCATTATGGGATGGGTCCTTCTCCCTTCCCAACTGAGGGATCACATATCAGCCTATCGGAAAATGGATGCTCACATTAGACCTCGCTGTCACACAGACCGAGAGCACGCCTGATGGCAGATACTTGTAAATATTATTAACGAATAAAGAAAAATAACAAATCCTGTAAATACTCTGTAGCTGAAACCTGATCAATTTAACCCCGTAGGTTTTTTTTAAAATTCATAAGTGTCTGTTTGACAGTTTTGAGTAATACACTTAGAGAATCCCCTTTGTTCTTTTATTTTGGATGATTTACAGTTTGAGTGGGCTTGAGAGGGACCACAGGTCTATTTTAATTGCATTTGACTTATACATAAACAACATTTCTTCTCATTATTTATATTTAAACCACGTCAGATTGATCATTTTTTTCATTTTTTTGATTGTACAAGTACATTACAGTATTTATAATCAACTTATGTTCTCCCACAATGACAGCTCTGTATAATTCCCAAACACAATCCAAAATCTACATTGGTGCTGTAGGAAGCCATTTAAAACGACAAAACCAAGGAGCTGGTTGACTCATGGGAGATGGGAATAACTAGAGTAGGACAGGGCTCATGTTTGTATTGTTCTGTGGCTTTGGCGTTCTTAATCTTTTTGGGATGCGGTTTGGTTTTGGCAGCATTAGCTGCGCGAGGCGCTCAGGTGTAGTCCTTGCAGCCGCCTCAAATCAAGTCATTTTTCTCTCTTTCCTCTCGGTCTCTGCTGTCTGTGCCGCTCACACTCTGGGGGATGATAGGTCAGCAGGATGGACTGCAGTATAACTGGAGCTGGGTTGGGCTTTACTCGACAGCCTTTCCACTCCTCCTCCATATGCTACTGTCTCTCTCTCTGTCTCTCACACAGAGACACACCCTCGGACACTCCAGCACAAAAAAGACGAGGGCGTTGCCTGCGGCCGGTCTTTGACCCCATGTGCAGTGATGTCACTCGGTGATGTGGGGGGTTGTGTGTGTGTGTGTGTGTGGTTGTCGTGGCTGCGTAAAGGGTAAAAAAGCAGGGGGAAGACTGTGGGGATGATTTGCATCAGCTTAAGTGAATTAGACTGGGGGGTTGTCTACAGAAGGCTATTGAGCTACCAGATGCTCTGTTGTGCTGCTGTTGTTTAGGTGGAGAGGACCTAACCCTGCTAACATGGGTTTAAAGCCTTATAAAGACAAGGACAGCTGCAAGCATCATCCCGACCCACGTAAGGGGCTTTTCATGAGTCACAGCTTCAGACAGACAGTTCAAACCACGCAGTGTTTTGTCAACCACGTTTATCCATATTTCTTTTTAAGAAAACCACTGATTTACAGGCAAAACTATGAGCTTAAAATCTTTTGGTTTGAGGAATTGGCATTTTATTTTGTGTTGTTGCATATAATGAACAAACTTACCCATTCTGCTATCTTACACTGAGCTGCAAAACCAGATGATGCCAGTCTGGAGGCTTTTAAAGGCTTTTGTAATGATCGTCTTGACTTGGACTTAAGGAGTTAAACAGTTATCAAAGCCACTGTTAAATAATACTATAAATTTCAGTTAATCATTAGATTGGTCAAAGAGGAAGATTAAATCTCTAGCTGCTGTTTTATATACTAAATAGTGATTTTAAGCCTCTTTATTACAGAAGAGCAAATAGAAGAACCTTCAGTAAGTAGTTGTGTATTCCTACATAATGTGTGTTTTTACTCACAATGATACTAGACAATTTGTGGATGGATAAGTTGCTTATTGATCACTCTCTGTTTAAAGTCCAAAGCTCACAAAGTAGTTTCTTTTGACATCACATGTGCATCCAATTTAAACAACACAAAGATGATTTGCGTGCGGTGTTTCTAAGCCAATCCTGAAACCTGTCTTTAGACAAGTTCAGACAGTGTATGGGGTTATCAGCAGCTCTGTGGTCAGCCACCTAACTGCACATCTTGCAAGTGGCTTTACATCCTTTTTCATCCAGAAACCCACAGCAGAGTCTCTGATGTTGAGTGGTTGACACTTGGTCTGGTATCTTGTTAGTCAGCTGGACAGTCATGCAATTCCGTGCTTCCTTAATAACTTTGTCTGTGAATTAACTCTGTAACCAGTCTGGTTACAGGGGAATTAGACAGGAAGCTGCTGAGTTTCTTTGAGTGGAAATGTACATTTTTTTCATTAAAAGCATGCTGCATACTGATGTCATTGTGACTATATTTGCCATCTTTATGTCACCAAAGTCACAGCGCTTGGTTTCTGAATGTAATCATATTTTTCCCAGAAGCTGCTAGCCTTTATCAAATACAAAAAAAAGTGAATGTGGGTGGCAGTTCTTTTGTACATCTACAAGTGGACAGCTTCACTGAAAACCCACATCACAGCTATAGAATATGCTGCTCTAATAGGTTTCTAATTGAAAATATTAAAATGTACTCAGTGGGGTGCACGCGCCATTCAAATTGCAGGTACTCAGCTTTCTTCTCTGATCTCTGTGTTAGTTCTCTATATCCTTGCTACCCTCCATTTCTTTCTCGACACTGGGGCCACACAATGTTACACAATCACTTTAGTCAACACCGAGCGCTGTGGAAAAGAGTAGGAAGGAAAATGGAGAATGGGAGCAAATGTGGACTATAATAGAGCTGTTAAAGCTTTTTGTAATGCTTGAATTCCTGCCCAGCCTTGAGAAAATCCATACGCCTAACCTTTTTATGTATGGAAACACTGTATATGAATACAGATGGAGTGGTCTGACATTTTTTCTCGGCCTCTGGATTGTCTGACTACAGGGCCCAGAGCTTTACTCGAACCCTACTGAACATCTTTTTTTTTTTTTTTGGACAACTCTTTTTCTGGGGCCATTTTCTGTAGTTGCTGGTGCTTTAAATGGGAATGGATGGCATGCAACCTTTTTTTTTGTTTGCTTTCTTCCCCTCCCTGTGGAAGTGTTTGTCTTGGTAACACACTGACCTGTCACAGTGATGTTATTGTGAAACCAGTTGACTAACGGAATGCGTTTTCTGTCATAAGACAGTCAGAAGCAATATAAGGTTGATGGTTTATGTTAAACGTTTGGCTTGTCCAAACTGCACTCGTTGCTGTTGAACCCACTGAGGCTGACACGTAACGCTTCTGACATCTAGTTGGTTAAAAAAAGCTCAAAAGGAATTCTCCACAGTGTGCTAAAGGTTCAGTGGAAAGCTTTCATGATCTCCTGACCCTCTTTAGACCAACGGTGTTATGAAAGCTGTCTGAAGCATAAACATGAAGTATCTCTCACGCTTTTTCTGTTTTTTTTCTTCTTTTATTCAGAATCGTGAGCTGCAGATCATGAGGAAACTGGACCACTGCAACATAGTCCGCCTGCGCTACTTCTTCTATTCCAGTGGAGACAAGGTGAGTCGGCTCGGTGTGCTTCTTCTAATTCTTCATCTGACCGTGGGAGGATGCATATTTAATTCTGCACAAATATACAGGAAAAAATATTAACAGCCATCTGTTTAAATTGACTGTTCAGCATAATCTATTTTTTTCCATCCTTGGAAAAGTATTGCTGCTTGTGGCTGAGGAAGCGTATTCAAGGACGAGTGAAGTAATGCATAAAGAAGTCCTTGCTTTGGTTTTCTTAAATAAGGTGGTAATTTATAGATTCCTCTTTTATGGGCCTTTTTAAGGTATCTTGGGGTCTTCTAAACAAAATAAAAGAAGATCTAAAATTCAATTTATTGACTCTGATTGCAGTAGCATAACACCAGCCTCTTCTACAGAGTGTATATACATATATAAACTAAATGTGCTCTGTGGACGCTGTACTTTCAGAAGCAGTTGAGCATTTTCTAGCTCAATCAACTTGTTGTGTGTTTAAAGGGACTGGAATTATAGCATCATTTATTTCACTGAGTCCCATTCACAGGTCATTTTGTTGTATTTTGGAATCTGTTGTTTTTCTGTTTTGTTTTTGTATTTTTTTTAATGTTTTCTCCTGGCCAGCTTAGCTGTAATAAATACAATAGTACATATCTTGACTGGAAAGTCCCTCTCTGTGCCCTGCTGTCGGTCTTCGCCGAACATCAGAGGTCCCCTGGAGACTACACGGCTGTGCTATGTCATTCAGCTAGCTTACAATGGGCAAAGGTCTGTGTGTCAAATATAGAACCACGTGGACTTGGCTCACATGCTGTCGGGACTATACCCATGACACGGCAGTTAGGAATGCTTTCCTGTTGCTCACCTAGCGACACCAAGGAAAGCTGTTAAGGTTTGAAGGGGAGTAGACGGTGAGATGGTCAGAGGGCATCGGCTAATTATAGATCCACTCGAGCTCTCCCTTTCGTGCCGTGCAAGCTCCAAGCCTGTCCCAGGCTCTCGCCACACACTCATTGACCTCTGGGAATCACCTCTAATTCTTGGTATACTGACACAACGCCCGCGGTGACATGTTACACAAAACCTTACACGCTGCCCAACTTTTTTTTTTTGTATTGCACAAGTTTCATGTGACTGTACCATTGCATCCACCTTTACATCACTTTCTTGTATAAGTCCCCCCCCCCCCCCACACACACACACACACACCCCTTCTCTTCGTCCTCTCCTCACCATGTCTAATTATGGAGACCGGCACCATGTTTTTGGTATGGGATTTTACCACCCAGAGAGCTGCTGAGAGGTAGTGAAGTAGCCAAAAGGCAATGTGAAAGGGATGGAGAGTTTCAGGCATGTTGATGGATTGATGGCAGATGGGTTTAAAATAAGTACGGGAAGAAAAAAGACATAGACAAAGAGATGACATGAGAAGAGGTCAGGTGTGTAGGTGCCACTGGTGTCCTGAAATGAGGGTTCATGTTGGGTGCAGCTGTGAGACAGGCAGGGACTGTTGCTACAGTAGCTGTCAGCGTGTGCACAGGTAGTCTTATGTAAGTGCTGGCATGTGGCGTGCCTGATGCACACAGTGTGCTTTTGCTTTTACCCTTTAACCACTTGTATAATGCTGTGTTTAAACAGAAGGCCACCGGTCCAAACAGCGTAGGCAGGGAAGCAAATAGTCGCTTGACTTTTAACTATGAAATCGCTCAGAGGGTGCATGGAACGTACTCTGCTGACATGTAGCTGCCCTCTGCTGCATTTCTTCTTAAAATCACATATATTTACATACTGATTGCTTTCAGTAACATGAAAAAAATTAAGATAACATTCTTGGCAGCAGATTGACACTACAGGTTTTTTCTGTTGTAACAGACTTGAAGACAAAGTTCAGTTCATTTTCAGGTTACTGACTGAACGGTGATTAGAAATATGAGAGGCAGAGTTCAAAAACTAGCTAATTAATTGTTCATAGGTGACGAATCTGCATTAACATGAACTTGCACTCTCACTTGCAACTTCCACTGGCACATCTAACACTAGGACCACCTTTGGTCTTCAGAACTACCCTAATTCTCTGTGTCTTAGAATAAATAAGCCACTTGAAACATTCCTCACTGAGTTTTGTCCATGTTGACATGCTGTGGTGTTTTAACAATGCTCAGCTGGTACTAAGGGGCCCAAAGTGTGCCAAGAAAACACCCCCCTCATCTTTACACCATCATCAAGCCAAAACCACTGATAGCAAGCAGGATGGATCCACAGAAGAATCCACTGAGACCTCTCAACAGAAAGTGAGGAATCTTAGACCATCCGGTATTTTTTCCCCAATCTTCTGTTGTCCAGTTTTGTTGAGCCTTTGTCAACTGTAGCTTTAGTTTTTTGTTCTCAGCTGACATGAGCAGCTCCCAGCGTGCTCTTTTGCTGCTGTAGCCCATTTCCTTCCAGATTTAATGTGTTGTGCATTCAGAGACACTCTTCTGCTTGTTTTATTTGAGTTACTGTTGCCTTCCTATGAACTTGAAGAAGTCTGGCCATTCTCCTCTGGCGAGGATCAGGATATTTTCGCCCAGAGAACTGCCGCTCACAGAATATTCTCTTTTTTTTTTTCCAGACCATTTTCTATAAACCCTAGAGATGGTTGTGTGGGAATATCCCAGTAGATCAGCAGTTTCTGAAAAACTCAGCCTGTCTGGCACCAACAACAACGCCACATTCAAAGACACTTAATCAGTTTTCTCCCCATTCTGATGCTCAGTTTGAGTTGGTGCCATATGATTGACTGATTAGATATTTGCATTAATAAGCAGTTGAAAAGGTGTAACTCTAAAAAGTGTAGGAGTTTATTGAGGACTATGAAATGCAGACATTTTGGTCTAGGCGTATGATTCTCGCTTGGGGTGCGAGATGTCCCGGGTTCAAATCCCGGACGAGCCCCCAATTATGCCCCCAATTAAACATAAGAATAGACTTGTACATTACAATGGTGTAAAGAAATGGCAACTTAATGATAGAGCTGTGACTTTGGTTAATGTCATACATTAGTGTTGGAAATCACTTTGATCATGTCCAGTTAATTTAATGATGTGCAACAGATGCACTTTTCTAAGGTGGGCATTGTAACTTTCCTGACTTCAACAGTGTCTTAAAACTGACATCATTATGTGATTCAGACAGGATTCAGGAGGGATGTGTAACGATGATGAGTTTTGTTAACATGGAACTTATCTGTACCCGCTTTAGACTTTAGTTAACACATCTTTTTTTATACTGCAGCTTGCAAAGTGAGCAAATCAAAGTACGCTGTGTCACATCCTATTAGATTTTGATTCATGTCGGAAAAACGTTTCCATGTTGGGGAAAATGTATTGTACGTAATTAATAAAGCTATTGTTGTGCCACGTGCGTAAGTGACGCTGATGGATGAATCCTGCTGCTCTGTGATGTTGCAGATATATAATAAACTCAGAGGAACGACTCCAGCACACACAAAGCCTAAAACTAAATTTCACCCCCTGTTATTGTTTTGTCAAAAACCTAAATCATATTTATTGCTCCCACTGAGTTTTGTTAATCTGTTATACTGAATGATGCTGCATTGGAGGCCCTAATATTTAGTGTCCACTATTTCTTCTCCACATTTATAATCAGTCTGGGTGATTAAGAATGTAAACCTGACTAGTTGTTGGAGGCATACATTCTTCTTCTTCTTGTGATTCTTGTTGAGGGCATTCCTCACATCAGTCTTTCCTTTTTCTTTTTTTGTGGGCTCAGAAACTGGCGACCAGAGAAACCACAGTCTAGTGCGTGCCTCTCCATTAATACTGCAACGAGTTACTTCAAATATGAAGCAGACGCTTTCAGATGCTGTCTGATAAGCAGAAAGACGTGCACGTAACAAACAGATTTAAGTGACGTGAATGACTCAACAACCTTGCGTGCTTGGTGAATTAGCTGGAAAGGAAAAGGGAACTGCACTGGTTTTTTGTGGCATTTGTTGCTGGTGCCTTTAAAGGACTTTTAACAACTGATTTTTAGAAAAGACAAAATAAAAAATGTGTATTTTCTGTATGAGAAATAAATCTACATCAAGTTTTCACTTCTTTATTATGTTAGATTGTGTTGCGCTTGGATGGTGCATATTTTTAAATGAAGTGCAGTGAACTTATGAACTGATGGGTTGACAATGAGCCTGTGTGGCTATTTATGAGTTCAGCTGAAGGATGGTTATGTAAACATACAAAACAAATAGGCCCAGGGGCACCTCTTCTGCCTCCGGTGGTTGATCCGGCTGTGGATAACATACAATTGTAGCTTTCTGCTTTTTTCAGTTTTTTTTTTTTTTTTTTTTGAGCTATTAAATCAGTGATTCCGGATTTTAATAGAGACACTGTTGTTGAATAGCATTGCATCTAGATAATGAATCTGGTAGAGCTGCCACTGGATTTCCCAGGAGCCAGTGAGAGACAGGTGAGAGTTTATGGCTGTGGCTGACATATCTGGCATTGCTCTTGCACATATTAAAGACTTATTCTTAGATTCGTAGTGCCATGTTGCAGTCTTCATTAGCGTGGGCCAAAATAAGGACTCGAGCTCCGTCTGTGCCGCTGTCTGCCTTCCTTGATTTCACAGACTCATTTGCGCCCACAGTTGTGTAATTTCCTCCCGTAATATGCATTTAAATATGCCTCATAATGTCAACACAGAAGCACAAACACACATGCTAATAAAAGCTTTGCTTGTGAAGACTGACATGCAAACTGTGCATTACATACTGAAGACTGCTAAGCTTACTGACAGATAGCGTAGCCAGTTTTTCTCACCAAATTAGAGGCTGGGTTGCTTAGCTGGGAGTGAACAAGGAGCCAATCGGATCCTGCCTGGTTAACCTCCGGGAACAAGCCAAGGAAGTGGCTTTGTAGTGAGGCAGGAAGTGAGTCATCGCTGTTGCTAGGCTAAATATAGCTTTAGTGGCACCAGAAGGAGGTGTAATGGGCTCTCCAGACATCACAATTCTTATCAATGGGAGTTTTGCTGGTGAACGAGGGATGGCTGTGTGCTATGATTGGTAGAAGAGAAAGGCACACAGAGATCGCATGCTAAGGCGTGAACGCGATGCCGGTGATGGATCAGTTTGTAAAATGAAGCTATACTCACCAGTATCGGAAACCCTGTGCGTGCCTGTCCATCTGTCTTCCAGGAGTCAAGGCCCTGTACTTCGCTCGCTGTCTGTGTATGTGTCCAGTCATCTGAGTGTGAACAGGAGAGAGCTGTCAGGAGAAAGCAGGACACTGAGCTGACAGAAATGTACCGCACAGTCTGTCTGGAGGCTCTTCACAGGCCCAGCTCACTCATTTTGCTTTGCAGACCTGCAGGGAGCCAGCCTAAGCTGCATGTTGGGCAGTGTTGCTAACAGATGGGGGAGAGGAGGCAAAAGGAATCCAGACACTCAGTCCCAGACTAGATAGGAGGGAGAGAAGAAAGCAAGGAATAATTTAATTAAAGTGTAATTTAAAAGCTCAGATTTATTTATTTATTTTTTTACTCAAAGAGGGATGTCTCATGGGTGTCTGTGCAGATACTGTTCAATACCAGTCAGTGCTACATGATTACATGTAGCAGTATGCGCTCACCGCCCACTGATCCTCTCAAAGATGTCATGATGAGGGAAAACATGAGATATATAGCTTTGCAGATGCAGTTACACTGTGGGTGATGCGCTGCTGTTATCAAAAATGCAGTTTATCACAGTATTACATGCGCCTACACAGAAGGCACACCCATGTGAAGTCCATTTACACTTTATCTTACATTTATGTTTGAAACGAGTGAAGGAGCCTTCTGCTAGTGATAAACAGTGAACGCACACAACTTATATTTTGGAGGCGAGTCGGTTGTGTTGCAAAGATTAAAGACTGCATCAGCAAATCCCTTGAAAGAAAAGCAACACCATCAATAAAGCGATGGCCAGGTTTAGCTTCTCGCTCTGCTTCATATACCTCAGCTGTATTTAAAACACATCAGTGGCCCGCAGTGTTGCATGGCTGCCATGTTTCTTCACTACAACATGGCCTGTGTAGTTTATTTTGGGTTAGTCCCGCCTCACCATTTTGGTGCTATGAATACTTACTAGAGCATCAAATGTGTACCAATACCCTGGTGAGAAAAGTCCCCTCCACTAAAGCTCAGCTTGCTCTAGTTTGAGCAATATTAGATCAAATTTGCTCTGTCCGGTGGTTTGGGCATTTTTCATAAGACCACAATTTGTGATTAAGTGAATGATTTATGCAGTTGGGAGGGAAGTCAAAGTATTAAGAGAGACAGCAGGACTGTGGTTGTGCTAATATTTTGTAGAGAATGCATGAAAAATATATAAATTCCAGGTTTGTCCTCTGGAAAAGTGCTCAGTTTGTTACATTGTTACTACTACTGGTATTCTGTTACTGGTTTTATTGTTAGCATTAAATGCTTAGAAGAAGACACTTCTTCTGATGATGGACATTTTCCAAAAAACACCACTGATCACTCAGTGCTGATTTATTCACTTCACCCTTAACATGAGCATAGTGTTTTATGCAGAGGCCTCTGCTGTTCCTCCTAGCATGCAATCAGAGCCTGAGCAGGCTAGTTGTCAATGCATCACGTATGCGTTTGTGAGTAACCTTCCTCCTGAATTTTTAAAGTATTTCTTAACTCTTGCATTTTAGCCTTATATGATTTATAGCCTCAAGCTTGAGTTCCTCAAGAAACTGTAATGGCTTACTTTGGGCTCATTTTGGCCACTTTTAAAGGAAATGGGAAGTCTTAGAATAATTGGGTGGAGAACCCCCCAGATACAGCATCCTTTCATGGTCAGTGCGCTCCAGAGTTCAATGTACACAACCCCGCCCTCCAACACTGGTCTCGTCCAACCAGGAAACGAGGAAATGATATCACTGTCTGCGGCCACTGTCGGGGCAACGGCCGTTATGACGCATGGTTGTGTGCTTCCTGCCCGCAGGGAGAGATACAATGGATTCCCAGTTAGGCTGCAAGAAAGCATCAATTACATCAGCATGAATACGGCTTCTTTCTTAGGAAAAGATGCATCACAGCTAAGAGGAGAGAGACAGGGTAATAGGATGGGGGTGCATATTTAGATCACAAGTTTTGAGTTAAATTCATGCATTTTCCAAGATTGTGTTGTTTTTCTTAACATGTTTCGATTACAAGTGTCTTTTCTATACAGTTTACATGATTTTTGTCAGTGTAACCATGATTTTTTTCTTTTCCATTGTTGCTTCTCATCGACAGAAAGATGAAGTGTATCTGAATTTGGTTCTGGATTACGTGCCTGAGACTGTCTACAGAGTGGCCAGACACTACAGCCGAGCCAAACAGACTCTGCCTATGGTTTATGTGAAGGTAAAAGCTCTGTCTGTTTAACAAGGCTGAAAAAGATACAGTTTAAAGTGAACTTGACGGACATGTTTCCAATCTCATATTTTTTTATTCTTGGAGTCTACTATAGTAGCTTTCAAACCAATCCTCATTGGTGGAGCTCTATGGTTTATCCACTGACTGAAATAGTTCGCTTTAGCAAGCCTTCCTTTAATCCTGCTTACTTCTGATTGGTATCTCTTTGTAAACAGAAGGTTAAAACGGAGCATGGGCGGATGTACTATGAGATGACCATGTAACAATTCTGAAATACATAATAGTTAATTGAATATCTCTGGTAATTCTTACTGGTAGTTACAGCAACTTAGTTAAATCTGAGTTAGACTGGTGAAAGCTGCAAGTATAAAGACTGTAAATAAATCAGTAAAATGCGGTGTGGGCTTTTTGTGTGTGAATCAGTCGTGATAAATTTGGGCTTGGTGAATTTTTATACTTTTAATATGAGACACACTGCTTGTAGGTCCACTTTAACCACACTACCCCACATTATGTGTCCTTTATCTTCACATTTCTTAAAGTACTTTTTTTTTTTTTACTACAGAAAGAATATTATCAAATCAAAACATGTTTATGTTTTTATTAAACAGCTGTGTTGGTATAAAATGTGGCTTAACTCTTCTAGTTGATTATGGGGCTCAGTTTTCATCCAGCATCATAAGATCCAGATTTCACTGAGCTGTGTTATCAGCTTGTTTTTGATAAAAGCTAATTTATCATATTTCATATTTAGTGTTTAGTTTCACTGCTAAACACTAAATATAAACAGCTTAACAAATGAAAATTTTTGTCCTTGCATATCCCATCTATTTTTGCCCGTAGATGACTTTTACTAACTTTTTAACGTTGTGTTTTGTACAGATCTTAGATTTAGCTAAAAATCATAGAAAATCTCAGAAACACTCCTCTCTGTCTTCAGATTTCTTTTACACAATGTGAAACTTTACTGCTTTGTTGGTTTGCATCGTGTGTGCACACATGAGATGCTACTTTTTAGGACTTACTTACCGTAGATGACAGATGTGCAAAACAAATTGGGAATAATTAGCAGAGGCACAAAAAAACCTCCATCTGAAGGACTTTTCTGTATCAATGAAGCAATTAAAAATAAAGCACATCTACTGTTTACTACACCTGCTGTTCCACTGAGCAAGTTCTCTGCAGTTGTAATATTAATTAGGATTAAACAACTAGTTCACTGTGTTAACAAGTAAAACATTGTTTGATCTTATTTGTAAGGATAGATTGACCTGAGGCAGCAAATTTGAAACAGGAAATGAATTTGGATTTAAAAAACTTGCTTTAGTTTTAAAAATTGTGTCTATAAAAACACTTCATATACTTAATTTTATCTCTACAAAAGCTGGGTGACAATGTTTAGGAGTTAAAAGAAACCGTGTGTGAAACTGGAGTCTAAACATTTGCTGTAAAACTCATTCTCTGGAACTGAAATACAGCCCAGAGTTTCTATATGTTAGTGCTGTAATGGAAGTTTGCTGTTTGTCTAACCTCTGTGTGTGTGTTTTTTTTCCTGTGTAGTTGTATATGTACCAGCTCTTCAGGAGCCTGGCCTACATTCACTCGTTTGGTATCTGCCATCGGGACATCAAACCCCAGAATCTGCTGCTGGATCCAGAGACGGCTGTTCTCAAGCTCTGTGACTTTGGCAGGTGAGGGACAGTCATGTTTTACACTGATCTGAGTTTTTTCTTTTCTTGGCATTTACAAAAGACGTTCACATTGGTACTGCTGTGATGTCTGATAACATAAAAAGTGAGCGCCAGCAACCAGTTAGCTTGGCTTAGCATGGACAGTGGAAATAAAGGACTGGGTCTTCTGGATCTGTGTGAAGGTTTCAGAAGGCTTCTAAGTAACATTGCTGCTCATCCTCAGTCTTTAGCAGTGTTCAGCAAATCACACACTGTAACTATGCACAACCAAGAAAAAGGCCCTGTAACACTGCTGTACATCATTCTTACAACAGATCATGTTGGAATTAAGCAAACGAGACTGACCCCTGTTTACATCTCTTCTCATATGACTTTATATTTATGAGCATGAGAATGAAATCAGTCTCCAGCTCTAAACATACCTAGTCAGTCTGTTTCCCCAAATGTTACTCTATTCCTTTTGAAGAGTTTCACCCTTAAGCTGATGCACACTGTGTGGCTGCCTGGATTGAACTGAGAAAATAGGTGAGGCCATAGTTAAGGTCACGTGGTGCCATGAGTTTACGTTTACTCTGTTCCTGGGAGATGAGCACACTGTACCCTGAAGAGAGGTAGATAAAAGTGATGCAGCCACCATCATTGTCATCATACCTGTACCTGCACTACAAGCCTGTGGAAGCAGCGTTATGATCTGGGGTTGCTTCAGTGGCTCAGGTCTAGGTTCAGCAACATTATCTGCCCAAACATGAGGACAGCGGCTACCTGAATGTGCCGAATAATCAGGTTTTTTCCTTGTTTAATGGAACGGGCACATTCCAAGATGACAATGTCAGGATTCACTGGGTTTAAATTGTGAAAAGAGTAGTTGAGAGAGCACGAGACATCATTTTCACACCAGCACAGAGTCCAGACTTTATCTCCACTGAGAAGCTTTGGGATGTGCTGTAGAAGACAATTCAGTTCAATTTGTTAGTGGAAAAACGTGAACCACCTCTGGAGTGAAAATGTCGTTATAAATGTTGCTTAAACGTATCAAAACAATGCCATGGAGAATGCAACGCCTTCATTAAAGCTAAATCCAGCAACATAATAATGTGGGAGCCGTTTTCGGCCAGGCACATTATACAGGCTCTATAAAGTGTGCAAAAGTCAAATTGAGATCAGCGTGCGTTGTTGAAAACAGATGATTTATTTACTTTTCATTCGTTAGCATAAATGCTGATTGTATTTGTAGCAGAAATGTAGAAATCTTCCTTTTAGCTGTGTGTTTGATTGGATATGAAGTCCACTGAGGTTTTATCACACGTGTAAATCCTCAGTACTGGGTGTTTCTTCAGGTTCATTTTTTCCCTTTTTTTTGAAGTATGCAGATGGTGGTGATGATGATTATTTGCTATGATTTTGTGTGCAGCGCTAAGCAGCTGGTCCGTGGAGAACCTAACGTGTCCTACATCTGCTCTCGCTACTATCGAGCCCCTGAGCTGATCTTTGGTGCCACTGACTACACTTCCAGCATAGGTAGGCTAACTCGAGCAACAACTCTCGCTGCCTGACACATGCACATTCATCAGGAAATTATGAGATCGTGTGTTAATCATGATAAATGGACTGGTTCTTATATAGTGCTTTTCTACTCTGGTTCAGCACTTAGCTTAAGCTTTACAGCAGCATAGAATCGCAAGTCGTCATTGCTCCTCTTCTGTTTTTACAATCGGACTCCTGCCTTGTCCTTTAGATGTGTGGTCAGCCGGCTGTGTACTGGCAGAGCTGCTCCTGGGACAGCCGATCTTCCCTGGTGACAGCGGAGTGGACCAGTTGGTGGAAATCATCAAGGTAATGACCGTACTAACCGAGAGTATTCCAATATTCCCAAACAAATACTGCTTCAAGTTGGATGTAATATTACTCGGGCTAATGGTTCCACCCGTGTGTTTCAGGTTCTCGGCACCCCGACCCGAGAGCAGATCCGTGAGATGAACCCCAACTACACTGAATTCAAATTCCCCCAGATCAAGGCACATCCTTGGACTAAGGTGAGTCAACAGGTACAGGAGCCCTTTTACTTCTTTAAGATCCACCGCAAAAGCATTCTGCCATTCCTGTTTTGCCTGCATGCTTCGCAACCATCCAACATCATCATCTTCATCTAACAGACCTGCATGTGAAATAATTACTGCCATAAATGCACAGAGTTCTAAAAAATAAAAGATGCAAAGAATTTGCATTTACCGAAAATTTACTGAACTCAGCTCACACTTATCTCCCTAGGATCGAGATTATGGAATCAGCAGCACTCGTGCTCAGAGCAGATGCGCTGACTGGTAGCTAGCAGCAATGTGCGGATGTGCAAATCAAATATTGAGCACCAGGCAATGAATCTGAGGGGCCGTGAACTTTTTTGCATCAACTGTTTCAAACTCGGGGGGAATGGGAATGAAGGCCTTGAAATCCTACTCAGTGTTCCCGAACGTGCCATGCAGTTGTGTGATTTCTTGGTGTTGATGCTGCCAAAGATGCTTTTGTTTTAATGTTAAATGAGAGTCTTGACCAAATCACATCAGCCAGACAACTGGCATCCTTAACTGAGAGTAAGTATTTCTCCAATTTTGAATAAGTCAGTCCTGAATTTTATATTAAATTTATATCTTTTATTGGTTTTTAAGTTTTTTCAGTCCCAATAATTATTTGAACAAAGAAAAAAATATCAGACTTTATAAGAGCAAGAAGGGAGAAGGATGCAACACCATCGCTGGTAGAATTCTACATTTTAAGCACTTGTTACCGGATCTGACTGGTGATTCAGAACATGCCGTTTTAAAGTGGCAGTTAACCCTGAAATGAAAGTTGACTTAGCTGATGCTTCAAAACAACTGAGGCATTTAATTACGACTTCCGAGTTGCAAGACTTGCTTCAGGGAGGAGTTTGATAATGACGCACTGGTTCATCGAGCTGAAAACAACCTCTCTCTTTGTTCTTGACCACCTGTAGCACAACGTCTGGGCCCGTTATCAGCAGCATCAGAGTTTTGGCACAGGCTCAAAGCAAATATAAGATCTGCCTGATGTTTTAGAGTGGACTGATGTTAAACCTGCGCTATCCTACTTCAGTCAGTTACTTCATCAACTGCCACCCTACTTCCCAACATCACAATGTTGCCTCGTTGCTTGTTTTAACTCATCTTGAGAACTAAACAGGCTTTAAAATCTAAAGGACAGTCTCTCTTTCTTAGCTAAGCACAGCTCTTCTATTTGAAAAGGCAATTAGCCAATCAGGAGGGAGCAGGGTTATCAGGCCCTCCTGTTCACCTCCGACGTGCCTCGCTGTGGTCGCTCTCTGCAGCTGCATTTCATTTGCTACTCACTGCTACAGCAGTCATATGCTTCCACTGATTCATCCATAGCACACCATAAAAAATGCATTGGACAAAGTGCATTAGCTTTCATAGGATATTAGTAAAGATTCATTTTTCATCCGGTCATATGCTCTTTGTGTGTGTGTGTGTGTGTGTGTTGTATGTGTTGTATATGCGTTTGTGCTAAAAATACTGAAATGTCTCTTTTCTTTGGAAACTCGTGATGTTCTCATTGTTGATTCAAATTGACATTCAGGTGTTCCGACCACGTACGCCTCCGGAGGCCATCGCCTTGTGCTCCCGCCTGCTGGAGTACACGCCCACGGCCCGGCTAACACCCCTAGAGGCATGCGCACACTCCTTCTTTGACGAGCTGCGCGACCCCAGCATCAAACTGCCCAACGGGCGAGAGAAGCCCTCGCTCTTCAACTTCACTACCCAGGGTAGGCGCACTCACAAAGCGTTCCTCGGAAGAGAAACCATTCATTTAAAAAAATAACACCTCTCCCAAAGTCCCATTTGCATTGTAAATACGGTTTAAAAACGAATATTAAAATAACAAATTCAGGGGGATCCGAAGCCCTGAGGGTTTAAAGTTTTTCTGTTTTGAATAATTCGCTTTACTTTATTTGGATACTCCAATCTAACAGATTTTTTAGAAGAATATAAAGTACATTTAAATATTTTTTTTGTCTGGGACATATCGGTTATCTCGTATTCACAGTAGCATTTATCCGTAAGGAAATCTAAGCACATCTTAAAACGCCACTTTTATGTTATCGTTGATCTGCAGGTAACTTTGTAACAGCATAATGTGGTGATGCATTGTGTGTTCTTCTTCTTTTAGAACTATCTAGTAATCCTTCTTTGGCCTCCATACTCATCCCTGCCCACGCCCGCAGCCAGGCTGCCGCCTCTACCCCAACCAATGCATCTGCCACCACAGGTTAGAGCCACGCTACCTCCGTCAGACCCTTGTTTTATGTGGTTAGCTGCTCTATATTTATTACTTTGAAGTACTGGTTGTGGCTTTGCTTACTGCTAATTTGAAAAACAATTTCAGCCCCTAAAGGTCAGCCTCTTTAGTTCAATTTAAGTTCAATTTAACTTAAGCCAGAAGTTGTTTTGCACTCATGTCTCCGAGCACTAAACGCTGCAAACAACAACACATGCTGTTTTCGTCGAAGGGTTGACCTTACTTAACATGCCACCTTAGTTTGGCAGTATGTTAGGTGTTTTCAGCTGTGAGTTTGGCTTTTAATTATTAATAAAACAAGATAATTGAGTTTTTTTTTTTTTTTTTTAAATTGCGACACCCTTGCTTTGTTTTTTGCTATAAATTCTTCGCACTGTGCCCTATTACAGCAGCGGCTTTAGCCCGACACCATAAGCCCAAACTCGCTCCCAGTCATGTGACATGCTTAGCTTACTTCACATTTATTAATTATTATGTTTCCACTTCAAAGAACTGCTAAAAAAAAGTTTAGTGTTTTTTTTCCGCATCAATCCATGGGGTTTCTAATTGTTTTTAAATTGTGTCTTTTTCCAGAATTTAAAATTCCTTTCTTCTCATGTATGCTTATGTTTAACCTGCGTAGCATTATCGATTCACATTTGCTGCTTATATTGTTCAGTGTAGTTTGTATACACAGATTTGTATCCTTCGCTCTCATTGTGTCTCTGTAACTCTTTTTCTACCTTTATCTCTAAACCAGCTGTTCAACTGAGCACTTCCTCTTCCTGTTCATAGATGGCAGCAGCACAGAGCGAGGTCCCACCACCACCACCGCCTCTGCCTCAGCTTCCAACTCCACCTCCTGAGCCCACAGAGCACCTGCCCCGCCCCGGTCTCAGCCCCAGCCCTCAGCCTCTCCATTGCCCTGGCCAGGGGGTGAGCTCTGCTCAGCTCAGCTCTGCCCTGCTCCTCTTCCCCGGCAGCAGCGGAGCGATGCTGAAGCAGACCGGGTTCGACAGCTAACTGACCACAAACCTAGCATCCCCAGTCTGCCTCTCTTACCCCCAAACCCGGCCTCAACATAAAGCTGTTTGAACTCTTCTCCATCCTCCGTCAAAGATGCCTCTCCGTGCCCTCTCGACAGGGAAGTGAAGCGCAGGGCCGAAGATGTTATCGACTGTACTGTTGATTTAAAAAGTACACTGTACACGTATACACAATGCTAGCCTGCTAAGAGGACAATCGGTAGAAAAGTCCTGAGCTCTCGCCCTTTTTTGCCCTGTCTCTATCTGGCCTCCCTCTCCATTGTTCCATTTTTCTGCATCCTTTGACCTCTGACCCCTCCGTCCCCTGGCCAACCCCTCCTCCTCGAAAAAAACAAAAACAAGCCCCGCCCCCCTTTTGGTTCTTTCTGTAGTGCATGGCCTGAGTATGGTAGGATCACCTGGGGGCCACCAAGCCCTCTCACATCCACTTCCGCAGACAAGGCATGAGGCTCACGCACGCGTATACACACACACACACAGACACACACCTACACCCTCAAACACACACATCCTCACACACATGGATGCATGATGATCCTGGTGTATGTGGGAAGAAACAGTCCTCTTTGGGAGGACATGTTTGGACAGTGTTGTTTTTTTGTTGTTTTTTTCTTTGCCCGGGGTTATTTTTAAAAATGGTTAGCGATCTGTTTTATTCAACTTTGTTTTTAATTATTTTCTTTTTTGTTGTTTTTTTTGTACTCCTGGGCAGACGTCTTTTGGATTGCCATGTGCGATGGATGTGACATGTATCTGGTCCTGTGTGCTTGTATAATATATACATACAATACAAAACAGACATGCATACACACACAGTTTATATATTACTTTTCCTTATGTATAAAAAGTATATATAGATATATGTATATTAACTACAATGGTTCAGAAATCATTTATGGTGAGCTCATATCTGGCAGAGCAGTGGCAATATTTGCTGCTGCCTAAAGACAATAGATTTAGATAAGGTGGTGTTTTGTTATTATTTTATTTCTGTTTTTTGTTGTTGTTCTCTTCTTTGCTGGAGTGTGGTTAGATTCCAGCAGCCACTTCCCTGTGTCGTCTGTATTAAGGCTGTAGATGGATTTAGGGCATCGCTCTATTCCCCGTCTTTGTACCGGCTCTGTCTGTAACAGTGTTTCTGTGACAGTGCAGCGTCTAGACAAACGTGTCCCCCACCCTTTTCCCTCTCTCCCTCTCTCTTTCTCTTGCCGTTTCTGCGAAGAATTCGAGATTCGTTTTCACGCTCGACTCTCGGCCCGCAGTCTTTGGCGCACCACCGGCTGCCTTGTGCGCTGCGACCACCGACCGGAGCGCCCCTTTCTTTTCGTCCCCCTCCACCCCCGCAGCACATAGAGCCACTCGGTACAGTCTGACGAATCGTCTTATTTACGGAGAATACTCACTACATCTAAACAAAAAAATTCAAAAGATAAAACCAACAAAAAAAAATTCAGAAAACAAAAAAAAAAATCACACAGACAAACACACAAGAAAGAAAAACCGAATTTGTACATACAGTATAAATGCTCCTCACCAAAATTCTGACTTGTATGTTGTTTTTTTTATGTTGTTATGTTGATTTTTTTTTTTTCTTTCATGTTGTGTTCAAGGTATGTATATATGCAGACCCATGTACTGTTTATGAGCAAAAACAAAGATGGGTGAGGGAACGGAATGAAAAAGATTCAAAAACAAACAAAAAAATGAAACAAAAAACAAAAAAAAACCAGAATCAGGGCAAAACTGATGTTGTGTATGGATATTGTAGATGACGACGACGACGACGACGATGATCAGCTTTATCCAGCCATATGTTCAATCTTACCTGTACAGTACAGTAGATTACAGCTGTATTATTGTAACAAGAACTAGTCATGTATAGTGTAACTATAGTTTGGAGTGCCTTTGCTTTCATACACCTTCGCCTTGTTTCCACCCTCACCCAGCCCACGCCATCAACCCCCCACCCCCACTGTCACCGCCACCCTCTGATATTGTGACTCTCCCTTTTGGTGCTGTTGAATGTCCTGCTGTCCGCGTGCTCACTCACGCGCCTCCTCTTCCACCCGATGCACATCCTCTCCCTCCTGCTCTTTTCATTGCACACTAAATGTAATATACAGACATTGTTAATTGTAAGGATTTTTTTTCTTTAACTGAAGATATAGTAGACAGGTGTTTATTTTAATAGATGTTTTATCTTGGGACACACACACACACACACACATACACGTGTACTGCAGTCCTGGCACAGATTTGGGGTATGAAGTGGGTGGGTGGTGTGCTGTGGACGGCAGCAGGGTTTTAAACAAAAAAAAAATCAAACAAAAAAAGGCCTCATATATTATATACGATACAGTGCAGTTTCTGTATTACTCGCAGTGTTGGTTCTGTTACCAAAGCCAAACCATCATGTTGTGATGAGCCATCCTCAGAGGCAATAACTCTTCTTCTTCTCTTCTCTTTGGATGTTTTGTTGTTTCTCCTCCTGCTCTTGAGTATTCAGGGGGGTGAAATTCAGTAGCACCTAAGGGGTCAAGTCATGTAGCCTTTCTCCTGTCTCTCCCGCTTGCTGTAATTTTGCATTCATGAACGTGTTGCTACCCTCCACCAGAAGGTTGGACCACTTCACCTCTGCCCTCTTACTCCAGTTCAATTAAAGCACCACAATGGCTACCAAAAAAGAATAAAAGTGTATAAGCTAGTATAATATCTTATACTGACATATACACTAGTGTCATATGCTGACTGGGTTAAACTGGGGTAATAGAAAAGAAGAATCTTAAGAAAATACTACAAAAACATCCTGTATAACAGTACTACTACTTGAATGCCTCTGTTTGTGACTGAAATTTTGATTTCTTTTTTTGTTTGTTTCTTTTTGTTTGTTTGTTTTCCTTTTGTTCTGTGAAGGTATGCTAAATGTGCGCCTCTGTAAATATTCCCTCTGCGTGCTCCGAGGAATAGTTCCCTGGTACTGTAATTTGCATTAAATAAAGAGTAGGATAGCCTGGAAATGATCATGAAATTTGTCTGTTTGAGATTCTTTTACTGTGTTTGTTCCTGTCACTTCGTAGACATCAGATCGATTTTGTTAAAGAAAATTCAAACCAAAGTAGTAACATTTATGTACATTGCTGAAGTGGCAGGGACATACATTATATATTGTAAATGGCAATTTATTAGGTAGACCTGCTCAACTAATCATTAATGCAAATGTGTATTCGGCTGATCACATGGCTCTAGCTCAGTGCATTTAGGTGTGTAGACATGTTCGAGAGACCTGATGAACTTCAAACAGAGCATCAGAATGGGGGCAAAAAGGTGACTCTGGTTGTTGGTTGTTGTTGTGGTTGTTGGTGCCAGACTGGATTATCTGAATATTACAGAAACTGATTTCTACCACACAACCGGAGTTCACAGAGAATTATCTTAGAATTATTAGGAGAGAGAGAAAACATCCAGTGAGCAGCAGTGGATATAACCAGGATACATAAGACCATCTCTGAATGCACGCGCATCGAACCTTGCAACAGAAGACCACACTGGATGTCACTCCTTTCAGCTTAGAACAGAAAACTGAGGCTACAGTTTACACAGGCTTATCAAAAGTGGACTGGAAAAACACATCTGCCCTGACGTCTCAAGTTCTGCTGCTGTGTTCAGACTGTAGGGTTAAAAATTTTGTGAACAAATTAAAAGCGTGGATCCCTCCTGCATTGTATCAACAGTTCAGGTTTTTGGTGGTGTAAAGTTTTCAGGGATATTTTCTTTGCGAACTGGTTTTTTGAACATAACAATGAAGTCACTGTAGCTAATTGGCCTCCAGTGTCACCAGATGTGTAATGCTGCCATGTCAATCAAGTCTCCAGCACTTCAGCCTGTGCCACAAAGAATTAGGTCAACTGAAGAACAAACCATGACCAGCCTGATACTTTCACAACGTATCTGTTAAAGTGTTTAGTGAGTGTCTTTTTTTGTATATTACAAAACCAGCATGGCAAAACTCATATGATCATGTAGATTCACACAGATTTCTGTTTACATATTAAGAGTCTGAAACCTTGCTAATGGTTCAATGATGCACTGGCTTAAAATAAATGTGTTTGAAAAAAGAATATCTTTATTACAACATGATGCACAGAGATAACAGAAGCATCAACAGTGAATCACAAAGTCTATAGTAAATAAAAGTAAACAAATGTGGAGGTATTCTGTGCCAGGTAAATCCAAGGATTTCAGTTGGAGTGCCAGTTTCAAGTTCAACCCAAACTCATGAAAGGTTGCCCTTTAATGATGATCTGAAGGCAATAGCTGAAAATCTCTTTGGATGTTCTTAGTTCTTGAAAGAAAAATAGTAAAAAACGGTGTCCTTTTGCTTAATCTGAATCAAATAGAACAACTGCCGGGTACTGTACACAGAAATCTTGAAGAACAAAACTCTCAACTCTCAAAGTCACATAATGAAAAAGTTCTCCTTAGTGCAAAGAGAAGGCTTGAGTCTGCCATCACAAATTAAGGTGGACAAAGAACTGACAAAATAAAAAGTTCCTCCCTTGGGGCGTGTTTATTTAATCCATTAGATCAAAAGTGATCAACAAAACTTCAGGACAGTCCAGATGTTTGCAGTGCAGATCAGCCTCACAGAGAATCTGTTTTTCTGTGTGTGGCCACAGGGGGGCAGTGTTTGTCTTTATATTCCATCAGAAACGCTACATTCATCACAGTTTACAATAAATGAACATTAAGGCACCAAAAGCACAAAACTAGACCAACAACAAAATTCTACATTTAAAAAGCAGCTTTTTTGGAGTAACAACACTGACAACACTCGTTCACTCCTTCTCACCTATATATTTTTGTCCTGTCAATATTTAAGACAATTCAATTCAATTCCATTCAATTTTATTTATATAATCACAACAAAAATCGCCTCAAGGCGCTTTATATTGTACAGTAGATCGCACAATAATAGATACAGAGAAAAACCCAACAATCATATGACCCCCTATGAGCAAGCACTTTGGCGACAGTGGGAAGGAAAAGCTCCCTTTTAACAGGAAGAAACCTCCGGCAGAACCAGGCTCAGGGAGGGGCGGCCATCTGCTGCAACCGGTTGAGGTGAGAGAAAGAAAACAGGATAAAGACATGCTGTGGAAGAGAGACAGAGGTTAATAACAGATATGATTTGATGCAGAGAGGTCTATTAAGACAGCGGTCCCCAACCCCCGGGCCTCGGACCGGTACCGGTCCGTGAGTCGTTTGGTACCGGGCCGCGAGAGTTGAGGCTCAGGTGTGAAATGTATAGTTTTCAGCGTTATTTTGTTATCGTTTTTATCGTTTACTCGGTTTTCCTGGGTCTTTTCACGTGTGTTATGAATAAATCTTATTTTTTTCGGTACCGGTACTACTTTTATTTTGTTGTATTTATCCACGACACCTTAAAGGCCAGTCCATGAAAATATTGTCGGGCATAAACTGGTCCGTGGCGCAAAAAAGGTTGGGGACCTCTGTATTAACACATTGAGTGAGAAAGGTAACTGGAAAGGAAAAACTCAATGCATCATGGGAATCCCCGGCAGCCTATGTCTATTGCAGCATAACTAAGGGAGGATTCAGGGTCACCTGGTCCAGCCCTAATTATATGCTTTAGCAAAAAAAAGTTTTAAGCCTAATCTTAAAAGTAGAGATAGTGTCTGTCTCCCGAATCCAGTCTTCACTCTTTTGACACATGTAAAATAACAATAGGATACTTTCATTTAAGCGTCCCCATTAACAGTGCTTGTGCTGCTCACGTACAGCACATTCTTCATAAGTCATTATAGGAGCCTTTACTGACCACCTCCATTATGAGAGGACTGATGGTGTCAGGCTGGATATCCTGGATCTGTAGAATCTGTTTGCTGTATTCCTCAGTCATTGTTCTCATCTCTGTAAAGCAAGCTATCACTTTGGGATACAGCAGGCTGAAATACAATAGAAAAGTCAATAACTGCAGTATGTAAAAATGTTTCACACTGACTGGAAAGGGGCAAGAATTTGACATTTCACTCACTGTTTGTCTGGACTTGTTCTCTTGCAGTCAATCCAGGTTTTTAGCGTCAGCGCCAGGTTTTCATGAACTTTGTCAATCAAGCTGTGGTGCTGCACGCCTGGACGGTCTGGCAAATCAAGTAAAAAACAAATTTCTTTTAATTTGAAGCCACTTCGCCCTGAGGAAAATCTGAGAATGCATTTTTATTTTGGGCTGGGTACAAATGCACACTGTTTGTAGGGTTTAAATATTTACAGGGTTGGTTAATTATTGATTTGGTCCTGGCAAGGACTGGGATGAACTGCTGAAGAACGACCATCACCTGGAGAAAACAGAGACATGGCTTGCATGAGAACGTATTCTTCCTCCTGTAGGCCCAGTGTGCGCAGCGTGTGGTGAAATCTGAACAGAGGCTCCAGCAGACATGGCTGAAATCCCGCTGGAAAACACAGGAAAACGGGTCAGGAGCAGGACAGATACGGAAGGACAGTGACAGTCTGAGGGCCACTGAGGTCTGATCTGTTCCCACTTTTCTCCACACTCCCAGACACGGATTCAAATGGATATGTTTAGTTCCCACTTTCGAGTGAGCTACCATCAAGGTGATTCTGGCAGGGATTTATGTGTGAAAATGTGCAGCACATGTACAGGCAAACCACAATCTAAAAGCTCATTCATGCAGAATTATCCACAATTAGGAAGGAAAAAAAAAATCAGGGAGAACAATGAGCTCAAAACTACCAGCTACACAGTAAATATTCACCAAATACACAAAACACATATGCCAGTCAGATATGCGCTCCAAGAACATGCTGCAGGATTTTCCAGACATTCTTGCAAAACTATTTTTGCACAAGTTCTAAAAAAAAGCAGGGGTGGTGATTTGTCACAACTTCCCTACAGTTTTTCCAACACACAAGGCTTATACATGTAACTGACATGCTGTTAGCCTAGGAGCACTGAAACGGTGAAAGGAATTTGCATCAATAAAGACAACTAAACGCCAGCGGAATAGTCGGGATATCCTTGGTGTGTTGACTGGAATCAGTCAGACATTATTTTATACTGATTTCTGTTGTTGCGGATGAAATAAAGGTGCAATTATTCTACTTGGCTTTGCCAGACAGATTGCACCACAAGTCCCAAAAAATAATATCTAACAGATTATAAACAAAGTATTTATAAAAGCATTTATACCAAAGACCCCTGTAGTTCAAATGTCATTTATGGTTTATGTGTATTTACATTCCTTTAAAAAACAAAAAACCAAGGAAGTGCTATTTTTAGTGTTTGTTCTCTGTGTGACCTACTTTTAGGTCAGTCTAAGCAGTTAACTCGCAAGTAAAGTAGCATGAAGAGCAAACACCTTTGTGATGGATATTTGTAGCTGCACACCTTATCCAGTGTGAAAACTGCAGGTCAGTACCTTGAAAATTAAACAGAGCTGTATTCCCTGTAATCTCAACTTTCACCTAGTGCTCAGTGTGAATTCCTTATTCCTAAGAGCTGTTTGTCTAATAGTAAAAGGGAACCTTGAGACAGCGCGTTTGTGAAGCACTTTGGATCGAAAGAAGTAAAAACCAGTTTGACAGCATTGCAGTGAGTGTTTCTTAAGGAGTCATATTACACCACTGTGTGAGAACATGTGACAAGAGTGATAACAGACTGGACATGTTACTGACTGACTGTTGTCTGACTGCTTCAAAAATAAAAGTGCAACATGTGCATGCATGTTAGGAGCGTCAAATTTCTCTTTGTTCATTTTACTCCTGTTTAATAACAGTTTGCAACTTTACATGTAGTTTAAAAGCAAAAAAACTTGGGGGGTTTGGGGATTACGGCTTCACGTTTTTCTTCAGTTGAAAAAATATTTTGCGGGGGCAAAGGTCATTCAGTACACGTACATGTTATTTAATCAGGTGTGCAGAATTTGTGATCAGGGATGTTACTTTGAGTCCTTAGACAACACACACCTCAGAGTTACTATAATTGTCTCCATTACTGAATGCATTTTGTATTTTTGTATACCGACTTGATTATAAGCACTAAGTCCATCTCTATGAACAGTGGAACACAGTGAGAACTCAAAGAATCTGCACCTCCATTTGCAGTTTCTCACACTCTTTGGAGTACGTCAGCATTTTAAACTGCACAGCCACTCATTGTCACACTTTTTTCAGCAAAAGCTTTCATACACCGCTGCAGTCTTTGCCAGCACCAAAGAGCACCTCGAGATTGCTAACACAGCGGATGATTAGGGAGCTAATTAGGCCTAATCCTCCACTATCCTCTGGGAAGCAGCGTCAAATGTAGAGACAAATGAAGAAAACAAGTGTCAAAAACTAAACTGCAGTTCCTCTAATGACCACTTGAGGCATCATTCATTCATCATGCTTATCCAACTCAGGCTCACCCCGGGGCTGCAGCCTATACCAGGTGCCAATGAAATAGTGGACGGTTACACCAAACATCGCAATGCTAACAGACAGAGAGCAACAAACATTCACACCTATTTAGATTCACCAATTAGCCTAACATTGGATTTTCGTGAGTGTGTAGAGTCAGTTGCTCATTTTAGGCCATATTGTATAAAACATGAAGTTCAACTTTTCTAATTTACATGTCAGAAAGGAGGATTATCCAGGACATGCTCTCCTCTTCTGGGATGGTTTGAAACACACAGCAAGCCATAATAATTGTCAGATAAACTATTAAAAATGCTCCAGATGATACAACATCACAATTAGCTACTGCAAGTAGCATCAAGCCTTGCAGACACCTATCACTGCCAGGACAGGTATCAATCAACTGAACAAACTCAACTATTAAGGTGAGTGAGTGGTTAAAACCTCTCACCTCAGAACACATGAAGCAGGAAACTATCCACAGAAGCCAAAACTTTTTTTTTGTACCAGGTTGTAAACTTGCTAAACTGGTTGGCAGTTTTAACGTGGGAGTCTGGAAACTGACTTGCTTTTTGAGCCAGCCTCAAGTGGCACCTAGAGGAACTGCAGTTTTTGCCACTTGTGCATGGGTCTCATTTTTCAGGTCTGGAGGTCAAGTCCCACTGACTGACTTGTTAAAATATCCATGTTTTAAGACCTGTTTAGAAAAAAAATTAAAATCTCTCTTTAAATGATGCTTTGTCACAAGTGTTCAGGAAAGTGGCCACTCTAAGTGACAGTCTGACTTCACCTCAGATAATCTAATCTAATCTAATCTAATCTAATCTAATCTAATCTAATCTAATCTAATCCATCCAACTGTAAGAAGTCTTACCTCGTACAGCGTCATCTATGCAGTATGTAATATGGCCACATTCCCATGTGCTCGTTTTTGAGTTGAACACCATGTTGAAGCGGATCTGCATTATTTCAAACGTGGCTCCCTTCAGCAGAGATATTTGGTCTCCCATGGTAAGAGACCTGTAAGACACTAGTTTGACATCAAGTGTCGAAAACGTGCCGACTGAATATAAATATTCGTTGATGTACACATTTACCGGAAGTCTTGGAGACTTTTGGAAAAGCTAATGACGTTCTGGATCATGTAAGTGGTGAGGTCGGCCACATGCGGAAGAGCAGTGAAAACACATCTGTTTTCGACGCCATTCCGTATGTGGTGTTCTTGTTTTTTAATGGAACTGTGGAAACAGGAGGAGGATGAAGAGCATGAGGTGGCGGATGGCGATGATGTGGGCTCGGTGGTAGATATACTCGCAGTGCTGCAGGCGTTTCTAGGGCACTCGGTCAGAGGGTTAAAGAGCTTGCTTGCCGTCTGCTTGTGCGTATTCACAGGAAGGATGTTTCGGTCCATAGGCTGAAAAAAATCAAAGATCAATTACACAAGTTAAAACAAAGATGATGATGAAGAGCTGAAACTGCATGCATTATCACACACACCCTGAAGCTGCTGAAGCAGGAAAATGCTGAGTCGAATGTGCTGCGGTGACCAAAGAGCAGTTCCTGAATACGTTTTTCTTGTTGGAATGAAAGCTCCACTGGGGAGTTAGGCATCTTATTCTTCTTGATTTGGACCCTCCTCTCCTGCACCTTTTCATCAGACATGACCACTGAACAAGCACAAAAATACAAGCATTTACTATGTGAAGCATGTCAGCATAAAAAAACCTGATCTGATTCATAATTTCTTCTGAAGGCATGAAAATTATGTGTATCAGTTTATTGTATGACATGATGTAAACATGCAAAATGATAACAAGCATTCTAGAAACTGATGGGTGCACCTTTTATAATATCACACACTTCCTACAGTGACTTTAACATTAAGTATAAAAGCCTTTAGATGTTACTTACTGTCTTTGCGCATGCCACTGGCCTGACATTTGCGCATGCGGCAGGCTTGACAAGACCGGCGGCTGTTTTTCGTTATAACACATTTATTCAGGAATGGACAGCGGAGCTGGTTTGACCTCTTTATGTTACGTCTGAAATGAAAAACATCCACTCACAAAATAACAGCTTCATGCCTTAGGTTTAACTGCTTGTTAATGCAAATATCTAATGAGTCACAATTTGCACAAGTTTACTGAAATTGCACAAAAAATGTGCAGTCTCAAGTTCTGCCGCAACATTTGTTTGATAGGGTCAGAATTTGGTGTAAACAACATGAATGCATGGATCTCCACTCCATTTAGGTTGGTAGTGGTGGTGTAATGGGGTGGAAGATGTATTCTTGGCACACTTTGGGGCCCTTGGTACCAACTGAGCATCATTTAAACATGACAGCCTACCTGAGTAATGTGCCCGACCATGTCCACAGTGCACCCATCTTCTGATGGCTGCTTCCAACAGGACAATGCACCATATCATAAAACTCAAATCATCTCAACCTGGTTTCCTAAACATGACAACAAGTTCCCTGTAATCAAATGCCCTCAATAAAAAGCTCTCAGTAAAATAGAGCACCTTTGGGATGAGGTGGTCTGGGAGATTATGGATGTGCAGTAACTGTGTGATGCTATCATGTCAAAATGGACCAAAATCTCTGGGAAATGTTTCCAGCACCTTGTTAAATCTATACCACCAAGAAATAAATCAGTTCTGAAGGCAAAAGGAGACCACCCTGGTACTAGCAACCTGTACCTAATGAACTGTCTGTACTGCGTGCTCTGTGTGGATTTGATTTGTGAAGGTGTTGAAATTAGAGAAGGTCAAATTAAGAACCAAAGTAGATGAGAATATCACACTGACACCACCTTTTATGCCAGAAACTGAATGTTATCTGACCACTCAGCTCACCGACAGCAGCACATCTGAATAACAGGGACAGAGAGAGCTTTGGTGGCAACAAAGTGAGGTTTAAATAAAGAATAATTTGGCCTAAAGAAGTCAAATAATAAACAAAACTGAGCACACTTCTAAATGAGACAGTTCAGAGAGCATATATGGTGAACAGTAAAATAATGTTCCATTAAAAATCTAAATAAAAGCCATTAAAATAAATGGTTAACTTCAATACTACAAAACTCTAGTATTTGGGCTCCCAGTGATTGATGATGATGATAACACATTGATGACACACAGCTTCCTATCTGACAGACATCTTGAGCTTCTCGTTGTATAAACTCTTTAATCAAAAGGTCAGATAATTTTAAACGTTTTACAGCTGAATGTGAGGAAAACTGAAAATGTGATTAGTGTTAAAGTTAATAGTCATATCTTTTATGTAGTTACAACACATTTCAAACATAACAAGCTTCTGACTCAGAGTAAATCATGTTTTCATTTATCACGAGCAGACTAGACCACTGTCATTTCCTGTTTGTGAGCCTTCCTAGTAAAAGAGTTCAACTTATTCAGAACACAACTACACCAGTCCTAACTAGGTCAACAAGTCACGGTCTAATCTTCTGAAACCTGCATGTGCCACAGAAAGAATACAATTCAACATCCTACAACCTCCTACAACTTCATCGTTACTCAGGTCACAGTGAACTGAGGTGGCCGTCAGATTGCAGAGCAGACGGTGTCGAGCCTATTTCACATTTTGAGCCTATGAAAGAAGGATAGTCACTGTATCTATGTAAATATCTATGTATATACATACTGTGGTTGTACATATATACAGTATAAAGTGGTTTCACTTTATATGATATTAAAAATGTGCAATATAAGCAGCCAACAAAATGACATGAACATTGCCCCCCCGAAAAAAAAAAAAAAAAAGTATTAATGACTGCCTGTACTCTTCAACACACAGCCTGAACCCTCTTAGGCAAGATTTCTCAGAATGTTCTTTAAGGAATAATTTCTTCAGGAATAGTTCAGCAGGCTTTTTGAAGGACATTGAAAGCTCTTCTTTGGATGTTGGCTGCCTATTGTTCTTTTTTCTGTCAAGATGTCCCCACACTGCTTCAATAATGTTGAGGTGCGGGCTCTGGGGAATGTTTTTATTACATTACATTACTGTGTTGAAAAATGAAGCGAATGCCAATGAGATGCTTTCCAGATGGTAAAAGCAATCTGATGCTTTTACCATCAAAATCTGATGGTATTTTTCTGTGTTCATAATTACATTAATTTTGACAAGATTCCCAACACCACTGGATGTTTTACTAATGACTGTGGTATGAAGGTAAATGTGTTGCACTTGCTGTGTACCTCTCTCCTGACCTATTAACAGAGATTTGAGCCACAAATTTCAAGACCAGTTGCCACTGATGTTTAGTCCAGTTCTTGTGTAATTTGGCATACCTCCACCTTTTCTGCATGTTTTCCTCCCTTAAGAGCAGATGGATGAACTGAAGGGCCAGATGCATCTCTCTGTGTCTCTCTGTGTCAGGTCTTTGCTGGATCTTTTCCTCTTTCTCAAGGACATGACTTTTAGAAACTGTTCATCTGCTGGAGATGATGGAGTTTTTCTAACCCTGTCACTTCTTCTTTTGTCTTCTACTTTCCTGAAAATTCTTAAGGACACACTGCTGAGATATGCCAAATTTTCATCTAATATTTCTTATTAGATGAACTAAGTTATTAGCTATGTATGGACAAAACACTGGTCTATCCTTGAGTTCAACCGGGAGCCTTTTATGCTCATCCGGTACAAGAACTGAGTGAGTGAAAATGACTGAGAAAGCAGCAAATGTCAAAAGAAAATTTTTGGAAGACCTTCTGGAAAACTGGAGAACTATTGCTCAAGACCACTTTAAAAGATTACAAGAAAGTCTGGCTCCTTGGAAGGAAAATCACTCATTTGTCTATTCACATTCACAAGGGATTCTTTTCATGACAAAAAAAATTGTAAATATAATTAAAAACATGAGAGAAACTCTAGATACCGCAAACATAAAAGCTGGACTATTTGTTTTCTAAAAGCCCTTAAACAGCCATTTATTGCTTGATTCATGACGTTATTAAAAGTTGAAGAGCTTTACCTGAAGAAGCCCTTGCAGCCTTCACAGGTCAAGGCATTGAAGTGGTAACCATTAGCCAGATCTCCACAGACACCACACACTCTGGGCTCCTCATCATCTGTCAGCTTCTCCTCCTCATCCTCTTTATTCTGCCTTGCGAGCACTTCACTGATGATCTGCACTCCAGCGGCCTTCTCGCTCATTCTCACCCGAGAGATAATCAGATTAGTCTGGTGTCACTGCCTTCACATCTGTTCTGGGCAAGATTCACTCAGTAAGAAGTGGAAAGGTTCCCTGTGAGATCAGGCTTAGGTTTAACTACTATCAGCACTACTACGTCACAGTTAATGTACAGGATACACACTGTATATTTTATTCTGCTATGATACTCTTAAATGAAAGGATATGACCACAATACTGTGGCTGAACCATTTTCTTCCACCAGTGACACATACCTGGATATGACTAAAGGCTCCTTGTGGAGTCATTTACGTCTATTACGACCCCCTATTCATTGTGGCTACATGGTCACAGTAGGAGATCACCTTGATTTTCATCAAAGAGCAATTTTCTGACGTGCACAGAACAGCTCACAATGTTCAAGTGCAAAGAACAATGTGGACTCTTCAATTTTATTAATTTTTTATTATTTTCCAGTGAAAAAACGGTAAGTTGCACAAAAAAACAAGCACAGGCTACTGTTGATTAATGATTTAGAAACATACATTTCAGGTATTTTCTGCCAGTAAACAATGCTTAATGCAACCTTTTTAATTTTAACACTCAAATCCCTCAGAATTACTTACACACTGAAATCACAACTTTAATGTAAGTCGTTGTGCTTCTTTAAAGCATACACAACTCCACACACTCCACTGAAGCAGCGTGTAAAACATTAGTGCTTGTTTGGGAGTGCTCCTACTTTACTCCCACCCTGCAGGCAGGCAGGTTTGTAACTGCAGCCTGACCTGTCTAACAGGTGTGCACGGGTCGTCATAAAGTAAACTCTTTTCCTTCCTTTACCTGGTTAAATGTCTGGCTTAAGTCATTCAAATCACTCACCTGATGATTCCAGAGGTCAAAACAGCTGTGCGTGGTCCACAGGTGCCCGCCTCACTTCGCTTAATCGGGTGAATTTTGAGCATGACCAACAGGGGAGAGAATCGTTAACAGGTCGTCGTGCAAGCTTTCAACCAGCTTAATGTTTAATACTGGCAGTTTGCCACAACTACAACCGGCTGCAGCCGAAGAAACTGCGGAGTAAAATCCAGCACCGCCTACTGATGTCGTACTTCGTAGACGCGGATCACGGACGCAGGGGCGTTTCCAGGATGGAGTGGCACAGGACGAATCCAAATATTTAATCGGAAATGGAATCAGCACGGAAAAAAAGGACACTTTTCTTGAAAAAGTAATGAAACATAATTTTTTGCTGAATAATTGTGGAAACGTGAAAAAAAATGAACTTTTAATGTAAGTTATAATCCTGTTTAAGAGTCTTCATGCTGCACGTTGTAAAATCAAAATATATAATAAGTACCAAAAGTCATTATGGAAAATGGCACCATTTAATGTTGAGCTGCGATTATTTTAATTGCTTGTGTGTTGCTGGGTATCTTAATCTGTAATAACCCAATCAATAAAAAACAAACAAAAAACAAAGCCTGGATTATCATGTTTGAATTAGTTTTTGAGGCTTCATCATCATCATCAGAGTGATTTTCCCCTCAAAAACTGAAATAAATTGCACAACGCATTTTAAAGAAATACATAGCTAAATATAAATAAATTAAAAAACAGATGCAGCAAATATGACATAAATTAAAACACCTACAATAATAAAGATTTTTTTAAATTCATCACAAGGTCCCCTTTTTCAAAATATATAAATAAAATATATAATTTCTGGCAATTAATTCATGCCTATGCTTCAAAGGGTTCAAATACATCATCTACCGTATAAAACACAACATTTGTTCCCCGAACGTGGTGGAGTAAAAGCAGAAAGATTTCTTCAAACATTTCATGTCAAATTAAATTAAATTAATTACTGCTTAGAGTAAAAAAAAAACCAACCCAGAATGATTATTAAACCCTCACTTTAATAACATCACAACAACTTTTAGACATTATAGATTGCAATGCAGAACACTTTTAATATTCTAGTCCTCCCTTTTACTCAGTTTGAGCATCGTGCTGCTCTGCTTCCTTCCCCTGCAGCGGCTGGCTCATTGTCTCTTCCAGGACTTGACAGGACGCTTTTATACCAGGACAGGTAATTTTTGACGCTTCCAGAGTACTGTTCAGGAGCTCAGGAGCATTTGAAGTCCCTTGAATGATGTTCCGAGCTGCCTGTAAGTGTCTATGCTGCTTCTGGTGCACTGAAAATGCAAGGTCAGAAAAAATTAGGAAAGGATTTACCTTTAACTTAATCACTCCATCAACACACCAATAAGTCATTTTAATTTCTATTTTTTAAAAAAGGGGCATTTATCTTTTACTACTAAGTCATTTAATGCCTTTTTGTGTGTTTGTAATTCTTGCTACAAACCTCTTTTTCTGACACCGATCTTCTTTACCTCCGGGATAAGGAAGCTGTACACCAGCTCAGACACAATCTCCTCCGACTGAAGATTATCCCGGCTACTCGCACACAAAAGCGATGTTTGTTAGCGTTACAATTCCTTAACACCAAGCAGCGACAGATATTCGAAGGTGCTTGTTACCTTTCCTCAACGGCATATGCGATGTCATTGACCTCCTTTGCCCTCTTGTGGATCTCCTCCCGCGCCTGCTGGTCGGTTATGTGCTCAATGGTCCCCAAGATGATGTCTTCTAAATACATGTCCACAGTCTCCTGATGTACTTGTACCACCTGTGACAAGAAGTGAAGGGAACCCACAAACTCACACACCTTAAAATGGTAATAATAAGTACAATAATTGACAAAAAAATAGGAAAGTATGTTTTAAGAAGCAATTTAGAGCTCACTGACTCAGCTTGTTCCAAAGAGTTGGTGCTTTGACTGCAAATGCTTTGTTACCTCATTGTTACTGATCTCTGTTACCCTTTTACAACAGAACAATGACATGTGCACATACTTCTCTGAAGATCTCGTCTTCCTCTTTGCGTCTTCGCTCCTCTACCTGCCTCCTTCCACTCTCCTCGGCCTCTCGCATCCGACGGTCTCTCTCAGCCAGCAGTGTAAAGGCGTGGATCCTTCGCTCATCCTGGAGACGAATCAGCTCCTTGGACAATGTGTCAAACACTTGTTCTAGTTCTGCCCCTACTACTCCGGCTTGATGCGCTTCCTGCTGAAAAATCTGAAAAGATGGAGAGAACGGGTATAAAGGTTGTTTGGATTTAGTACATTTTTGTCCGCATGGTCAGGTCCGTGTGTTTCACCTCAAGTCTGCGTTTGTCTCTTTGTTTATTGAGCATCATGACGTGCTCTTTGTCTGCCTTCTGTAGCTCCTGCTCTTCCCTCTTCAAGGCATGAACAGTCCTTAGTTCCTGGATGAGATCCTGATGTTTCTCCTTGCCCTTAAACATCTTTAGAACAGCGGAGATAAAAGTAAAAAGAGTGCTCAAAAACCGAGCAAGACTGAAACATTTATGTAGGAATGAAACACAGATGGACCTCATACTGGATCCTTCGTCCTCGCAATAGTTTCTGCAAGAAGATTACAGCAAGTTCTTTCTCTTCTTCCCCCTAAAAAATAGAGAAATATTAATACAATAAATGTAATATTTACAAAGGAAGTCTCAGTAACAGTCAGAATAATTAACTGACCTCAGGTGGCGTTTCCACTGTGGGAGTGACAGGATGAGGAACAGGCGTCTCCTTTCTGAGAAGACAACGTAAAGTCCTCAAAGATGTGTGGTCATCCTGCTTCTGCTTCAGATTCTGTGGAGCCAGAAGTGCCAGTATGTATGTATCTAAAACTTCAAAGATATACTTCAAGTGGATCTTGCATCAAACAAAATGGCTAAAATGTCAAATAATGAGGTTGTTGTATATACATGAGCCAAAAGCTCAGGCTTCAGATTTCTGCCTGGTTTCTCACAATTTCTTCTGCTCTTGGCTCTGCCTGATGTTAATGAGAGCAGAGATCTTTACTGTGGTCATCTCAGGTGCACAGAAGCACCATTAACCTGCAGTTCAAACCTTGTGTCTGCATGAGATAGCCAATCAGAAGTGTTGACTTAAGCTTGTTTCAGTGGGTGAATCGCCAGAGCCCAGCTTATGATAAGTAAGAGTTATTTTAAACTGTCAATTACGCAAAACTACTCCAGTAGTAATAAATATTGCATTGGACCTGAGCAACGTCGATCCACTTTAATGAACATCTATATTTTCTGTTCTGCCTTACCTTGTATTTCTTCAGCAACTGCACAGCTCTGCTCTCAGGAGGCTTCATCACATCCTCTGAGACTTTGGGTTTTGTTCTTTCTCTCTTTGACTTCAGTACTGAAGCACTGAGTTGCGTCTCTAGTTCTTCTAAACCTAACAAAGAGTTAAAAATGATCTTAACAATGAATTTATTATCTCTGTGTGTTATACTGGAAATTACATACTGGAAATTACATACAAAAATTTTACATCTGCAACAGCATTCAGATTCAAACCTTCATATGTGTCTAAGTAGCGTCTTGTTGACAGCATGCTGTTGATGTTCCTGTTGGGAAAAATGCCAATGCGGATCCTGGGGACATACGTCTGAGAAGCTATGACACATCGTTCTAGCTTCCCCTCCACATTTTTCCTCTTAGCTTCTAATTTTCTCAGTGCTGCAGACAAAAATAAGAAAAGAAAAACAGAGGCAGTTACCCAGGAGTGAGACCAGATATTAAATAATATACTTAACATTAGAGGGGTGGACGTCTTACATCTGTTGTAGTCAGCGTGTATTTTGTTTAGCTTGGTCTCCCTGTCTTCCTGGTGCTTAGAATATATCTGGTTCAGTCTGTCATTTTTGACATCTTTCTGAGCCTCATCTCTCT